ATCGGTTCGAAATCTAATATTTTCACTTAGTGAGGAGTCCTTAATTGAGAGCAATTTTTTAAAGGGGTCCCCCGCCAGGAAAGTTGGAGAACATGTTTTTTCCAACAACTCTTGTCATCTTTCAACCGATATTGGCATGAGGACACTGGCAGACTAGCATTCTCCACTGCTGCTCTCTCTCAGCACCGTCTCCAAGCCTGTCTGCAGATCCGGTGTTGATGAGCCTCACTTGTGTCCTGGCTGGGCTCTCTTAAGGTCTTTAAGACTCAACTCCTTTTAGACTTGAAAAGCAAAAGGCCCAGAAATCCAGTGTTAATAAAACTCATCTGACATCCTAATGATTTTGCATTTTCAGTTCCTTTTTTTTGGGAATTATTTATTTGGTATTCTGTCTCAAGTTTCTCTTGCCACAACAAAGACAGATGTTTGAACGCTATCCAGTGGCACTTTCTATACTACAAACGTCTCCGTTAAAACCCAATCTCACCTTTTGATTTTGATGATCCAGGGCTCTCGCTTTTTTTCAATTAAATGTGTTTAATTTATTCATGATTTTAAGTAAATTGTTTTCCCTTGTTTTTCAAAGAGCATTTGCACAGTATACTGTTTGTATATGTTTCTTCTCTGATTCTGCTGCGGCTCTAACCACATCAGAGCTTTCCAATGCTTTCCGAACTGTTGACAGATTTTTAAAAAATCCTGGGAATGCTGGATATTGTTTAGTAGATATGTTGGCTAGGATTCTCTAAAGCCCCATAGAAGTCTTAAAATGTAATATTCTTTTTTAGGTCACAGAAGGGATAGGATGTGTTAGTTGCCAACCAAAGTATGTCTTTAAAAAACTGAAGAAGAAACAAGCGAAAGAAGAGCAGAATGCAAAACCTGACACAGTCTTGTCTTGTAATGTGTGGTTTTGGATACATCTTTTCCCAGACCTGCAAATGGAAAACAGCAATAGGCTGAAGAATCCTAAAATGAAAACACATTTCCCTTTGAATCAGAAAAAAAGTAATAAAACATAAAAAATTAGATTGGGCACTGTAGAAATGGCTGTCCGTCCAACCACAGAGAGAGTATGAACATGTTTGCATGGCAAGAAATGGAAACTCGTCTACCTCTTCATGGTATCGGAGATGGGTACATTTTAATTCCTTGAAACAGCTCTCATCCAATAGCAGGTGTCCAAGTACAATATCATGTTTCATGCTTGTCACTTTTGAAAATATTTTTAATGCTGAAACAATAAATAATATGGGGGGAGTATACAATGCACATATTTTTTAGCCGGGCAGTGCAGAAATGACTCCAGAGGCGGCAGTGTTCCTGCTCTCTTCGTGATGCCTGCAGAAGATCAAGGCCTTTCAGAGCCCGTTGCTGAGGGTTCACATGCTTCACTAACCTGAGAGGGAGTGTTTACTGAGGCTTGCGCTTCCTTTCAGCGTTGTCTGGGAGTGATAGCTTAACAACGGCCTTTGCACCCCTTGGCATTTCCAACATGGGTTGGAGAGGGAAAGAGAGAGACCAAGGGCTCCATCTGCAGATTGGAAGAAAGCGTTCAGGAGCCCCCGACCCGGAGAAAGAAGAATGGTTAGATGGCGACGGAGGCAGCTCCGTCAGTTATGGTTTGCTGGCTGCCGGCTCAGTTCCTCACACCGCTGAACCTGGTTCCTGTGCCAGGGTTCACAGCTTAGTGGACACATTGGAAGGCAGGAAGGACCCGCAGAAAGGGAGGTCATTAGCATGGCAAGGTCAGGAAGGGAGGAAAAGGTTGGTCTGTCTGTCTTTTATTTTGAATCGCTTTTCAGACAATAGTTGCATTTTTTTAGACATCCTGTTGGGAGGAGGTGGGGGGGGTTGCAAATTTTGTCTGTTGGTGAAGCAGGTGTAGGAATTGATAGTCTGTGGGAAGATCTCATCTCATTTCATCTCATAGGCCAAAGGCTCCACTGAGCTGGCATGGCTCTGTTTAAGTTTGGTGGCTCTTCCGAAATCTCATGAACAGCATTTTCTCATACTTTCCTTCCCCCCTTTAAAAAAATCCTGGTGAGCTTCACATACCTATAAAATGCCCCAAATTTGTATCACTTCAGTTTTGGTCTGTGATTAAATTTTTAAACAGTGAAACTGCCCGTTGTTTTGCAGCCATGCTCCCTTTACAGCTGGCTGGTTCTGTTGGAAGAGTGGAGGGATGGGAGTTCTTGCTGGCTCTTGGCCTGATTCAAGTGCCACTTGTCTCTGTAGTTCTCCTTACTTCAGCACTGGATCTCTGCACCTAACTGATGGAAACGATACTTTCGCTGTTTTCTTTAGTATTAAACCTGCAAAAATTCCATTGGCAGTGATGTTTGGCTTTCCTGGACATTTCACCTGATGCATGTGTGATATTTCCCTTCCACCTTTGATCTCAACGCTGCTGAAGGGTAGTGACGGCTCTACCGAGTGGTTCTAATCATTAGCCTACAGTGCATGAGCTGGTATTCCTCTTTCCTAAACATGCACACACCAAAGCAGGAGGGAATGTTTTTGAACTTTTATTAAATCCTTTCACTCCACTTGCATATTCTGTCAGAATCAGCTTTGTTCTGGTTCTGGGTTCTGTTCTTGTATTGCCAAAAATTCAAGGCTGGGAGGCGGCGGAGTTATAGAAAGTCACATGGAGCTGGGGACCAAGTATGAACAGAGTTTAGCTTTCGATTTGGAATTCTCTTAAAAGCAGGATCTATTTGAGTTCTTTTTGGGGTAACTTATGTACATTGCAATTTTCTTCAGATTTTTTTTAACGTCAAATTTTTCAATGTAAAATCTTCACCTCTTAAGTGCAATAGATTTAGCAATTCGTTAGTGCGATTTGAAGCTATCTGTTTAGCTGTTTAACAGACAGAATATATTTAAGTAGGTGGCTGCGTCGGCATGCGTAGGCTGCAAAGGAACAAGTAAAGGTTTGTTCCCTGCTGAAAAGAGAAGAAAAGAAACACAACGTTTTGGCTGTGACACACGAAGAAGGCTCAACAGCCAAAACGTTGTGATTCTTTTCTTCTCTTTTTCAGCAGGGAATAAACCTTTTCTTGCTCCTTTGCAGAATATATTTAATCTGTAAATATTCCTCTCATGGTTTTAAATTAAAAATACCTTATAGTTACAGTTGTATTATCACATTAATTAAAATACAGCATTGAAATCTTATCAATACAGATGTAGCCCCCCAAAAATAATTGTGAAATTCAGAATTTTGTTTTAATAAATACAGTAATTCTTTTGGCTTCACCGTTTAGGTAGGAAGTGGGTCTAAGGGAGATCACTCACTTTTAAGATGCATTCCAAAAAATATGTTTGAATTCCATTTATTTGGTAGAATTGCCAATATTGTTTTTTGTGGCCGCTCATTTCAGAATTGCTAGTTAAATAATTTGGCTCCCTGCTGCAATGTGCACACCATCAAGAGAGGGAAGCCTGTAAATCATGGATCACCAAAGGATATGCTGCCCAGCTCAGGTTCACCCAACACTGGCGGAGCCCAGCCAATTCTCTGTGGTGCTGTTGAGAAACACAGTCACAGTAGACTGACTAGTATAGCCTGACTAGAACCAGCAGTGTCTGTCCTGCTGCAGGACTCGGCCTTCTCTCCAAAACAGCACTTTAACTATCTGAGCAACCAGGGAACATGGGTTTTTAAAGCAATTCTGCTTTGTTGCTGTTTTCAAAAGTCATAAATTCATAAATAAGAGATTACAGTACTGGGAAGCCCGATACCGTAATCATTTTTACACATTTTAGACATTTTTACACATAATCTAACTTTTTTTTCTAAGTGGTGCTTGCATGTAATGGTCTTAAATGCAGTTTAATGACTGTTGGTTTTCCACTTAAGTGAAACTAAAGACCGTGCTTTAGTAAAAAGTTATATAAATCTTTTTTTTTCTGAAAAGATTGTTAATCTCTCACTCTGCTGTGTCTGTTTTTCATGGGGTGCATACATAAAGAAATCTCAATATTTAGACAGCTGCTCTGTTTCATCTTCTGAAAATATTACAAGCATAGGATCCATAAGAAACATTTTATGGAAGCTTAACCATTAAGTAACGTCACACGAGGGGGAGGATGAAAGCTGGAAACACAAGACTAGCGGTATTATACCACAGTCACTGTGGATCAGACGCCTGAGTGTAACTCTGTCCTCTTTGTTGTAAACTCAGGCTTCAGTCGAATTGAGCATTTTAAATCTGGAAAAGTAGCGCCTGCGGATTGTAGACTGAACCCAGATCAGAGGAGCAATCCACCTCTTGAAATTCAAACCGCGGGTTAAAGTTGGCATGCTGTCCTTGGCGCCGCTTGCTGATCAGTATGACATCACTGCTGCTGTCTGACATGCTCTGATCTCAAACAAAAACACTGGACCTGTTCCCTTACAATACAAAACCCCATAAGTCAAATTCAAAAGCTTTTTTTTTAATCTTTCAATCACAATGGCAGTGCATTGTGTTTTCTTTGGTGCGGTAGCCAGCGATTGAAGTGGTGTTTTAATGGGGTGGTGCTTTTTTTTTTATTTTCTGTACGGAGGTAAGAACAGGGACCACTTTGAAGATTGTACATATTTCTGTTGTTTTTAAAAAAAGACATTCTAAATTATAGCTTGTTGAGATTTAATCCATTCTCATGCTTGTGAGGCTTAGGTTTCAGACCTGGAAAGGAAAAACTTGTCTTTTTGGAAGAAGAGGGCTTTTGGGCCATGCTATGACATTGTTCCTTTCTCAGCATCCTACATGAGCCAAAGAATTCTTGTTAGCCACCTTTGGGAGGCAGCCCTGTACTGTTTGACCAAATCACCCTTCCTAACTTTCAATGCCTGAAGTCGGATTGTCTCATACATGTGTGCTCTTATTGAAACTTCTTATTATAATTGGTTCTTTTATCTAAGCAGTGTGTCTCTCATTCATCAACCCCTGATCTGAAAGACATCCATGTTGCCATGTGGCATAACTCTCTTTGCTTGTCTTGTTCAGGCGAACTTGTTTCCAGCAGCCCTGGTGTATTTCGGCTCTGATGTCAAGGCAGGTAAGTAAATTGTCTCATTTATTAAAAAAAAATGTTTTCAGCGAAAAAGAAAAGGGCATTACGTGTAATTCTTTTATATGGTTTTGTGGATGTGGTAGTGAGGCATGCTGATTGGTTTTCCTGGACCTATTCAGTTAGCCTCTGCAGGCCTTCCTCCAGGTGTGTAAGCCTTGACGTTGCAATACTTCAGCCTTTTTTCGTGTGTGTATATAAAATGAAACGTTCAGCAGATGCATCCATGTAAAAACCTTTCACCACTGTGTCCAGCACTAAAACGCCCTCCGGTAATTAACAAGCTAATGCACTTGCCCAGAGTTTGTGCCATTGGATTTGAGGGTCACATTGCTTTTGAAAAGGTAATTTGCTGCAACCAAAGCAGCCTCATCATGTCACACCTTCTGAATATACACCATAGATTACATGTCTTTACTTTCTCAATCTTGCAGCACTCTTGTCCTTTGAAGTACTGTAACAATCTTTCTAGGAGAATCCCCATACATTTTATTAAGTAAATTGGTTACTGTTTGAAGTGGTGTATCTCAGTTCCACATGTGGGGCACGTTGGAGGCAGGAATTACCTCTTGGAATTGGTTCTATAGACAGTTTAGAGGAAGACTGTTATCGGCTAGGTAGTAATGGGCCTGCTGCCTCCACTCACTTTCAAGACAGTTCTGCGTCACTTTGTTTGGTTAGATACTGTATGTAGACCACATGTCACTAATGTCCATAGTCTGGATGTAAAGAAAAAAACATCAACTCTGTGCCTGCTTTCTAGTAGATGAAAAAAACTTAGGCATATTGCAGGAAAAATGGGGAAATCCAGCCTGACATTTCATCTGAATATATATTAAAGTGAGTGGTTTTGATCATGTTCCTTTCATTCTGAGCCTGGCGTTAGTGGTTTCTTATTTTCTAAGCTCCCCTGGTAACCACCCTTGCCATGAATCCTGCTTTGCCTTTCAAAAGAAAGTACAGCAGTTTTTCGGTACTGCTGTGCCAGCTCAATAGAGATCCACGCAGCTGAGCTATTGTGAGAAAGACACTGTTCTCACACACCATTGAAAACCCAGTGAGAAAGATCACTGTGTGCTTTCCTCAAAGTGGTGGGCAAACATGACAGAAACATGCTACCAGTGTCTAAGGCACTGAAGAGTCTTTGAGTGTTTGTATTTATAATACATTTTTTAGTATCTGGGAAAAATCATCAAATAGCAAATGATTTAAAAAATGAAAGCATCCCCCGTCGCTCTTAGGTCTGTGTTTAATCCTTTCTGATACTTTGAGTTAAACAGATGTACAGTAAAGATCAGTATTACTTATTACCCCAAAATACTGTTATTAAAAAGAAAACAAAATACAGTTTACACTAGGGATATCTCAAGTATTATTGTCTTTTAATGCCTGTGTTCTTTTCCGGTGTTTTGCAGATTATTATTTACAGAAGCAGCTGCTGGATTCCAAAGTTCCTCCTCGGCAGGCGGACGATGCTGTAGCTGGGTAGGCTGCACAACGCCTTCCTGTCACTTACAAACTAACAATATTGCCTGTAGAAAACTGCAGCTCCATTTGCGTTGAGGCCGTCCTGCTTCGTTTCAGTCATTGTTTTGCTCCACATACAGTATCATTACGTAGCATATCCATAAATAGAATACTATTTATTATGAAACAAAAATATAGTATAGCATAGATTTTAACTTATATCTGTCCATCTATTTTCTAACTGCTTGATCAGATACAGGGTTGCGGGGGGGCATGGACTGTCAAGCAACAGGCGCAAGGCAGGATGAAGACATCCTGGTCAGGACACCACTCCGCCGCGGGGCACTCACACTCACACCTGGGGCAATTTTCCCAGAGGCCAGTTCACCTAGCAGTGTGTCTTTGGACTGTGGGAGGCGACCCACATGAAGACAGGAGGAATGTCCTTGCTGATAGAACTCGAGGAATTGAATCCAGGGCCGCAGCACTGCGGGGCCACAGTGCTGACGACTGCACCACCGTGACGCCCGGTTCCGATTCATATAATCTTCCTTTTTTAAGTCAGAATCGGCAACTACTTTTCTTTTTATGGTGCCCTTCTGTCGTGCTGAAGCTGTCACTGACAGCGTGGAGCTAGTCAGCACGTCAGTTTCGCGTGGCTGGCTGGGGACACCAATATCAGGGGCTGTGGAGCTCCGCCTCTGTTTAAGATAAGCACAGCCCCGGAAATGAGCCAGCTCCACCCCACCTTGCGTCACATGTGCAAAAATGCATACTTTGTGCTTGCCTTGAGTATGTTCTACTTAGTTTCAAGCTTTTAAAAAAGTATTCTTTAGCCCTGAGTATTAGTTCATGTCATGGGTGTCAATGCAAGAGCAAAATTCTAACGGATCTGATTCCCATCATTGAATTTTTCATCAATTAGGTTTTCTTCCTGCTTCCTCCCACACAAAGTAGTTCCAGTGACTTCCTTTACATTTGTCTTCTAATAGCTTAAAAGGGCATTTAGGCGGAATATTTTAATAAAAGGAATTTTTCTGGGAGATGAATAGATCACATTACTTCTAGCATATAAATACCTTTATGCATACATTCTTACCGTAGTTGCTCGAAATGTTTATCTTGTTTATGGAAGAAATATATATTATAAACATTCTTAAAACACACCAACACAAGTTAACATCACATCTCTTAGGGGAAAACCATAAAATGCATTCTTTGCTGTGATAAGATCTTATTCACTTTTCTTATGGTTATCAAACTTTTTTAACCCAGACTTCTTCATGTTATCTGGGTAAAACGGATTGTGCATCATAATGATATCCCCAAAATGTTGAGCTGCAAAGTTATTTCCACACATCCTGCGAGATCAAACCAATAAGCAATGGGGACACTATAGCGAGATAAGAGTCTGCTGCTGCTGAAGGCATAGTTTAAGGGATTAGGTTATATTTATAGAACACAGAGTACAGGAAACTTTTAATAATGAGGACCTCAAATGGTTGACCTATGATGTCTCAAATGAGCTCCTTCCAAATGCAAAAGGTCATTGCTCTGCTTTGTGTCAGAGAGGTGCCGCAGGAGTTCTCTTCTGCGTTTTTCTTGCGCTTCCACCTTTTTGAAATTTCCTTGCATATTTAGTGGAATTAAGGAATGAGGTCCCTTTTAACAGTGCTGTAGTTCAGGCACCATCAGAGAGATTTATGGGGGTAGTTAAAGCACATAACGGGGGATTTGAGGATGAGGTTAATATATATTTTTTCAGGTTGTCTTGAAGAGTTTTCCAAGTGTATTATCAGGTAGATTATTGAAAGATTTAGAGCTGGAGTCTGTAGTCCACCCGGGGTCCTTTGAGTGCATTTAGGTGGTCCGCAATAAAACCTAGAAAGTTTCTGCAAGATAAAAGGTTACACTGACCTTTGTACATTTTCTGTAGTTAAAACAGTTCAAGTATTTCTCTAATTCAGATAAATGCAGTGTTTGGTACTTGATCCCAGAAAGTAAACTATAGTTTTAATTTAGCCCATACCTTAGAATTTACCATCAACACACTCATAGAGATACAGTAATTCTGCAGAACAATGCTCCCTCTGAGAACTTTGAGAAAGATTTGATAAGTACATTAGGCTTATTGTAGTATCAGTGAACAGCGTTTGTGAAGACACGATCATATCTCTCTTCCCATAAACCTGTATAAATGTTTGTGCACGATGCATAGCTACCACTTTAGGAATAACTGTGTGCAATTCTGCATCACTAACCAGTGACCCACCCACCTTGGCCTGTTGCAGGGATTTTAGTTATTAGTCACTCATGCCTAAATATCAACAAGGGCCGCACCTCCGAGATTTCCTGCACATGACATTTAGGTTTAAGCCTCATCAGCACTGGAAAAGTAAGCTGGTGCAGTAGTATGTTAATATAGGTGTATTTGATCGCTCTATAATTTAAGCTCCTCACAGACCCCCTTGTGCCAGGGGTCAGCTATTACCTCCTTGAAACTAAGATAGTCCCTTTCGCCATTGACGTCACTCGAGACTTGGGATGTATTTTTAGAAGCTGTCCAATACTAATTTAACAGTTTCTCTTTGTGTGATCTGTGGCAGGGTTATGTAAGAGGATTACTTATTGTTATTGCCTGAGCTCTGGTAGGCCACAGGACTAGGGTGTAAAGGGGCTGGGGGAGTGTGTCCAAAAATAGCAAAGCCCTTAGCCTAATTGTTCTTTCCTTGTGCTCTGTATTCTTTCCCAGCTGCATGCCCAGGTCGCCGACCCCATCATCCACTTCAGCAGATTCGGAAGAGTTTTTTCCGCCCCCCTTGGATTCAAACGCGCCGGCCAATCGGCAGAGCACAGCGGCAGACCAGCCCCAGCCACAGACTAACAGCCAAGCGCCAAAACCAGTTAAGACTGATCCCAGCAAAGTGCCCAAGTGGCTCAAGCTCCCAGGTGGGTTCCGATTGGTGCAGCAGCAGCAGCAGCAGCAGCGTAACAGAGGCCAGGGTTAATAAAACAGATCAGCAGAACAGAAATGTTAATGCAGTCCCTTGCCTGATGTGGCCAGCTGCTTTGTCTACCCCGGTCATACATGTGAAAGTGTTAACTATTCTCTATGGGATAGCCTCATTCCTAGCTTTTGAACACAACCACGACTATATGACTGCACTTTCCATATGTCGCTTTTCTCACGTCTTGTATCCCAGATCAGCTGTGAGGATCCGGTTCTTTGAGAGGGTGAAAGTGCAGTGTATTCTAGATGTCAAATCTAATTAAATCTTTGCCACAGTCAAGAATGTTTTTTTCCACTCATCTGATACAGCGCAGGCCTTTCTTCTACGTGCGTTTGAAATGTTTTCTTGCTGGCTCATAAACATTAATACTTTCTGGCAAATTTCTCACATGTTGCTCTACCCAGCCAAGCCCCTTATTTCATGCCATGCATCAGAGAAGAGACCACAGGGCTTCCTGTCCCGTTCCACTAATACAATACAGCCCTTGAGAATTCCTTCCCTGTGTGTTGTCAGGAAGCAGCCGAAGACACACAAGTGACTCAAAAGATAAGGATGCTTTTGACACTGGATTAGCTAAGGATGCTTTTTTCACATCAGATCCTTTAAAGGTTCTGCGAAAGTGAAATTTAAACAATGGAGTTTAAACACAAGAATCTGAAGAAAGTCAGATTATCAATGAGCCACATGAAAGTCAGTTAATGTGTTTTACGGGTGCATTGTTTTCAGGTTTCTAAGATGATTCAGTGCCATAATTGAATTTCCATGCTGCCTTGAGGGCTGAGTGTCGTGTGTGAGTGTAATGGCAGAGATTAATACACCACTGGGTTTTGATTTAGCCTTTCAGGTATGATGAAACACAGCCAAAGAACATGCATTTGACCTGTATGGAGCGTCTTAAATTCACTCTTTGGTGGATTTCGGAGAATAAAGGATTTATATTGTACAGACAGTAAAATGTGTTCCCTATTGTTCATTTAATGTTAAAACCTTGAATCAGGTTTTGTCTTTAATGTCATCATCACAACAGAAGTTTGCCAGATTTCCATTGTTGAGGAATACAAAAGGCCTCAGTTTTATTTTCTGCATTTTACAAATTCTATTAAATGTGACGTGCCAAATTGCATACATGTTTTCGTGATTGCAGTAAAAAGGGTGTGTGTTTAAGTGCCAATTTGACTCCACAATATTCATGTGCGGCTTGTTTTCTTTTGATTTCCACGTGTTATCATTTTAGAATGGAAATCCTATTGTTTTACAGTTTTTATGGATTTGGAAACTTGAAAAAAATCTTGAATGCCTTGGCAGGTGACATGCTACTCAAGTCAGTGTTGGTATATTGTCAAGAAATGTGCAGATTCTCTTCAGTACTTGCTCTCAGTGTTTTGTATTTTCTTGGTATGGACCATCAGGCCACTCATAGTACACAAATTATATAGGTGGCACATTTTTGGTGATAATTAAGATGTAAACTATGAGAACAATTCATGTAAGACTCAAGCAATAACTCAATAAGGGCGGAGCGGTGGCTCTGTGGCTAAGGATCTGTGCCTGTGGCTAGAAGGTTGCCGGTTCAAATCCAGCAGAGGAATCCTACTCTGTGGGGCCCCTGAGCAAGGCCCTTAACCCCAACTGCTCCAGGGGCGCTGTGCAATGGCTGACCCTGCACTCTGACCCCAGGCTTCTCTCCCTGTCTGTGTGTCTCTTGGAGAGCAAGCTGGGGTATGTGAAAAGACAAATTCCTAATGCAAGAAATTGATCACAGTGATCTTTTTTCCAGAGTTTGGGTATTGTTCAAGAATTGATTAGTACTGCATATGGACTCTTTTTTTTATAAAATCAGCTACCAAAGCACCAGCTTTCTTCAGAGGGAATCTTTTGGCAATTAATGGAAACTAACATGTTTGATGTTTCATTAAAACATCTGGAGAGGTTTTTAAATCAGTCAGATTCAATTTTCTAAAAACAAATTGTGATTTATCTGTAGTTCAAGAGGAAAAAAAATATTTGAGAGTTCATTTCTACACAGTTAAAGAAAGGTTTTGATGAGCATAAACTATCCTTGTAATTTGCTTAAAATTATTGTACCTATGCATGTTTCTAAGTAAATGTGCAGATTATAGAAAAGTTCTGTTAGCTATAAACAATTTTTAAAATGTTAATATGTGTTTTAAAATGCTCTTTATTTGTTTGTTTTTCAGGAAAGAAATGAAAATGCACTTCCTGAGAAGGGGTTCCAGAACTTAATTTAAACAATGAAATTTTGGATCATGCTAAAGTTCACCAAGAGTAGCTTTAGAAATTGAGGATTTCAAATTGACTTGATGTTTTACATTAAAAGATGTAATTTGCTGCAATCATGATATGTTTGCCTTTTTTTGTAATGGTTTCTTTTTTTCCATTCTGTTCCCAAGTTAAAATGGCAAAGAACAAAAACGTTTTAGAATGAAAACATCTGTTACAAAAATGTAGTGTGCTCACATTTCCCATACTGTAGTACTGCAGATACACCTGCTGGTTAGGCAGCATTGTAAGATAAATACCAGAATGTATTTTCTTGCCTCTTCAGGTGAATTTGCTAGTCTTACATGAAAGATTCCTGCCCTGTGATTGAAAGAAACTGTTCCAATGGCTTGTAAGTAAATCACAGGCCGGCGCAGCACTAATCATTAACCACATGCAGGAGGAACACTGTCTATGACACACCAGTGATGAGCAAGTAACACTGAATCCTACTCTGGCTGCCACAACCACAGCTATTAATACCAGTGCCACAGCCTAGAATGTGACCAATAATCACGATGAGAATGAGAATGGTAATTATAGTGATAACTAGTGAAAGTTCTGTTACAGTATTGTTTATCATTGTTAAGCTCTAATACTAGACTTAGCCTTGCATTTTGATCTGTAGAGGAAAAATTTGGTGGTGGTGGTAATAATAATAATAATAATAATAATGCCTCGAAGTTCCATGTTGGCAGCAACGCCTCAGTGTCTGCAGAACCCATTTGATGGGAGTGATTGGAAAGCTACTGCGACTGAATTTGAAACAGATCCGTCTTCGTTTCCTGGGAAATCTCTTCACTCCGGGCCGGGAGGCGTCGCGCAGCGCTGCCTTCCTCACCCACATCCAAAAGCCTGGAATCCCTGTCGATATTTTAAACCTTTAATGTAGGATCAAGAAAGACTTAACTCATTAGAAAGACTTACTCATTTTTCTTTCTTATTTATCCTGACTGCTTTCATATGTTTTATAAAAATCGCCTTGTAATTTGTTCCACTAAAATACACAAAGAGTTCATTTAAATCCCAAAGCTAGAGGACAGTAAAACCTTGTCCTTCTGCATTAGCTGTTTAAGCTCCATGTACTGCAGCAGAACTGTGCTCGGTGAGGCTCTTCTGTTGATTTTTAAAGCTCATTCTATCAGTTGGCTTTAGGGATACGGCAGATATCCTTTGCAGTGACGTTGAACTCTTGCGTTGAACTTGATCAGTTTGGCAAGGAATATTTAAATACAATGAGCACTAGCCTTAGAGGACTGAAGGATATTCTGATTTTGGTTCCAAACGATCCCTGAATTACTTAATTGAACACACCAGTTTACCTGATCATAGTTAAATTGTTGCAGGGCTTTAGCAATTGATGATTTAAAATGTAATAAAACCTTGTCAAGGAGGGAGGCTCTCCTGGATAAGGTTTGGAAACCCCTGTTTTAAAAACTAGGGGTGTGCTGGCTTGCACAGGCATACAAAATTTATTTTTAATTAAGTTAGTGAAGCAGTTTCTTAATTTGGCATCTGATCTGCTGTCTAGTGGTGCTGCTGGTTTATAATAGCTGCTGTATGTCATCCAGGTAGGCATTTCAATGCTGGATAAGGAGGGTCCTCTATATACATTATGCAAACTGCTTTGGTACTCTGGGACAAAATGCACTTACAAATGCATACAATGGGAGGTAATTAATATCTGAATGTAATGAAAACTTAGTTATTTTTTTTGCTATTTATTGTACCTGTAAAAAAAGACTTGATTTTCGCATCTAATCTATATGATTTGGTGGGTACAAAGCTTATAGATGAAATCTGATCAAATTTCACTTTCGTTTTTTTTTTGCTGCTGGTGCTCAGTGAAAACAGAGGTAGACAGACAATGGTAAGAAATTAAAGAAACAAGCTCAGGTCTGGTCAAGCTCCACGTCTTTTTGTCTTCTCTGACCAAGAACATTGTGAGACATGGTTTTGGTTGATCTACTGTAGTTGTTAGCGTTTAAATCCACCTTATGTTCATTTATGGCTCAATTTGTCCTTCACTTCATTCCAACCATCAAAACCCATTTTCAATTTCAATCATACAGTTTAATTTACTTTTATGTTAATATTTTCCAAATCATGCTTTGGACTCATGGAGGCACTCATTTTGATACGTTTTAAAATATGATTTCACCCTTGCCTTGCGCAACCTACAGCAAAAAATAGATTACAATTGACAGTAGGACAATCCGGTGCTATTACAGTGTCAGCAACAATAAACCGTCTTTTCTGACAACAGTGCATTGCAGTGTTGTCCCTTGAATCATGCCAGAAAGAATTCTCATGGCTTCAGAAACATTATGTTTGATCTGGGTAAAGACCTTTGTCAGTAATGTCTGTTCTTGTTACCAATGTACATACAGTATGCTCACAGGCCATGAGTTAAACTTTTTATTTAATTAGTAGGACTTAACTTAACTTAACAAAATCGTAACTGCAAAGTGTAAGCTTCTTTATAAAGCCAAAGTATAAATACTGCATGTAGACAGCTATATAACGTGCAGTTAACTATATAAAGTTACACACCAACCCTAATACTCACCCACTAAATACACATACGTTTTCAACTGTTACAGCCTCTTCATTCAAAGCAATGCACATTTGTCATTGGGATTTAAGATAAGCTTCAGATTTTATATGAAAACAGTAACCTTTCATTTGAACAAATAAAATCCATCTGGACATGCATATTTCTCTATGCAAGATAGTTTGTGACTCAAATGTAGATGTAGTGGTAGTTGAGGTAATTGTAAAAATTCTAATGTGGCTACTAGAAAATAAAATAATTGTGCCTGTTATGTCCAAAAAAATACTATTAAAAGAACTTGTTTCCTAAAAGAGACATAATCATATCAACACTTGAAACTTGAGTAAAAGTGTATGTCTCTTATTTTGGTCTTTTGTGATATTTTCTAATAGCAGGAGAGAGAAATTATTGTCAATCCTGCCACATATTATTTAGTTTAGACTTACTCTTTCAGATCTGGGATGAGGCATTCCTAAACGATTTTCCGAAACCCATTTTAAGGAGAGGGGAAGTTAACCCTGTGTAATTTTAACTTCCCAAATTGCGTATTGCTTTTAGTTGGCCTCTTTTGCAGAAAAGGGGCAACTAATCAGTTCAGATGATCAAACGCGATGGGAAAATGCGCTGTTATTTGCTATATACAGAGTATAGGAGGACTCCCTTCAACCAAGCAGGCAAGGAGTGTTTGCAGATAAAGCAGAACAGGAAAGGAGCCAGATGTTAAATATCCTTCAATGAGGGATCAGGGGGTGAAGACTCTGCATTAACATTGTTCAGGTGTTTGGTTGGAAAAATAGTAACCATGCTTTGATCCTTCTCTCCTTCCCCCCATTTGGCCAGACAGATGTTCTTGGAAATTCCATTACTCAGAAGACACAGAGCAAGATGAAACGTCTGCCATTTTTAACAGCAGTGCCCCATCAGGGATGGGGCTCAGGGGTGGGCACCTGTGTCCATGCTTGCCCCTCGTGCCCTGTCTGTTTAAACGCCACCGCTGTGGGCGTTTCCTGTTGACCTGGTGCATTGCTCTGGAAAAGGCCCGATCTTCCTCCAGAAGCCAAGTCTAATTTTGTTTTTACACAACCTGATCGTTCAGTTCTGCCCATTCGCAATTGACAGTCGCAGTCGTTAACGAACCCAGCAATAAAAAGTGGCAAGGACATGCATGAGCTGAAACATTGGTCTCCTCAGAAGCATTTGTGCAGATCCTGCAGCTCTGTGGTTTGCTGTGTTTTTGTTCCATCATACTTTCATGCAATAGTCATTTCCACTGGAAATCTGAGCTGCTGAACAGAGGCATTGATTCAGGTCAGGGAGCATATAGGTGCCTCCCAGGTATGTGTTACACACCACATCAATCCACCTCAGTCTTGTAAGCATTCTCTCCCCGTTAGTCCTGTGCCTTGGCACAAAAATTGGTAGCAAATGTGACAATGCTGCTGTGTTTTCTTTTCGGTCTTTCTGAGGTCATTTTCTTCCATCTGTGGCAGAACAGAGGTTACAGCAGGAACGGTCAGGCTGAGCTGCTAATAATCCATTACGACATGCTGTCACAACCCTTTTTTTATCTAGTTACACTACTGTCGTTTCAATAAAGTGTTAAAAGATGAATGTCCTGCAAAGTGCTTTGCTATGACTGATAAGACTGCTACATTGAATTGTACTGTATGAGGTTTGCAGAGTGGGACTTGCATGAACTCCCAAACACATGCAATATGTGAAAACGCTGGAGTTTTTTTATGAATTATTTCATGCTCTTTCACAGCTCATTATATAACATAGCTGTACCACCAACCTGCAGAGGCAGTACCATCTCAAATACATACTGAAGGAAAGGATGTCACCATTTACTATGGAACACTCCAATAAGTGGAGACAGAAGGTGTACAGCTTTCCGCGTGATAAAAGAAATGTTGTGCAACACTGTATTTAAAGAAGAGACCCAAGACAAAACAAGGGTGCATTAATGTGGTGCCTGTCTACAGTAGTGTGTCATTCCCCTGCTGTAATGTCAACTCTGTAAACCAAAACATCGATTGAGCTAAGCCCTTCCTTAACCAACAAATGACAATAATTTCAGGGAGATAAAAAGTGTGTGTTGTAAATTCTGCGTTCTGTCAATCAAATGCGTAATTAACTTTTAATTGTGAAAAAGGGAAGAACATTCCATAAGCCTTAGAGTTTTTGCCCAGTATATCACATTGAATAAATGGGGACTTTCAGGATATTTAATTTGAATAATTGTAAAGCTTGCCAAACCGGTTTTGCAGATGTAAGCCTGGAGTGAATGGAAATGATTTTTTTAAGTAATATGACAATGTAACACATCATCAGTTTTGCAGTCAGTAAAAATATTCTTTGTCTGCCACATGAACATTTTGAAGACGTTATTCAACTGTGTTTTAGATATATAGAATTTAATCATTCATTTATTTTCATTTATATCCACATAAATTCAGTTTGGCGAATTTAATCTCCTGTGAATTTACATAGGTTGCTTAGTAACGAAGAAGATGTATATTGAATCTGGAGCTTTGATTATGAAGTGAGCCCCTCTTGGGATTAAGTTGTTAAAACAAGAATACCTCTACGAAAATTTCTCATTGATTTGATAACAGAACAAACACAAATGAGAGGAGTCCTTTTGGCCCAGAGAGCTCACTTGGTTGTTTTTTTCTGTAGTCCCTGCAACCACCACTAGAATGAAACATACTTTACAAACTTCCCAGAAAGGGACATTTTAGAGTACTCCACGTATGAATCCTAACTTTTGTGTATTTGGGAGGTGAGAGGAAACCAAAGCACTTGGCAGAAACCCAAAGTCAGCACAAGGAGAAACACGTGCAAATCCCGTTTTTTTGTTCCCTGTTTGGCTTATTCATTAATGGTCAATGTCTTCTGCCTGCCAAAGAAGACAAAGCCCAGTATAAAACCCAGAAGTGCTCTCACAAAAATCAGCACAAATTATTCAAGGAGACGAGCTCTGAAAACAGAAATCCATTGGCCAGTCCGCTGCCGAATCGCTGTAAAGGGTTCCTTCTGGCATAGCTCTCCCCTGACTGCCGAGATATCAAAAGGAACAGCTGCAGGGACACAAGCCGAAAGACGGGGCGGACAGCTTGTGCCCCTGCTACTGCTGCAGCCAGGACTTCCCTCCCGAAAAAGTACCTCTGAAAGGTTAGGAAAGAAAGAAATCTTTCCAAGTGCGTTTCTTTTGAAAAGTAGAGGTAGTAATTAAAGAGTGAGAGCTCCTTTCACACTCTAAAAATCTTTTTTATTCACACCCTTCAGTTTCATCTTCTGCGGCTCTCTCTCAAACTCCCCCCGACCGACCCCCCCCCTGGAATCTCAACTCGTGTGGTCCGAGCTGTGATGGCAGCCTGACACCCCCCTCCACCCCTCCCCACTAACCAAACAACGCTTGGGCCCAGCTGAGTGAACTTCAAAGTGACCAGAGGGGGTACTCCATCGTTCCTGGCACTTGTCATTGTCTAACTAGCTGGCTGTGCCCCCACCCCTCACCCCCCATTACTCTAATTACTTCCAACTGCTCTTCAAAGCTTTGATGGCGCAGAGAAAGTAAGCATGCTGGAAGCACCTGCTGAACGCTGTAAAACGCGCAGGTGGGGCTGGTGTGTGGTGAGGCCACTCGCGGCTGTCCGGTCAGCTACTGCTTGCGGGCTGTGCACTGCGGAGAGCCCACAGGGCAGACGGCATGGATCAGGGTGTCCAGATGCTGTTGGAGAAGAAAAAAGGGGGGCACCGAGTAGGCAGAAACAAGTAGTGCAAATTGAAATGACAAAAACCCAGTGAATATCTTCATCCAGCATTGCAGAGTGGATCAGCCATAAGTCATTTCATTGCATATCCTCAGGCTAGACTAAGGCTCTCAAAGACCCTCTCAGGACACTGTAATAATGTTAATTAGGCTTCAGTTGCCATGCTTGAAAGTTAATCACAGGCACACCACCTCTTCAGCTTTGTTCTGCTGTCCTTGGCTGGTTTCTGCTGATACCATGGTATGCTTGCTGATTCGTGTGTTTTTCTAATGCACATCAACAACTGGGCTGGCAAATATACTGTAGTATGCACAAACCAAAAGTGCTTGCATACCTTAAATGTTCCCCAGCACTGCTGCAATATGCTGGTTTTGCATGGGTGAATTTAAAGAAGCTGCAGCTTTTCTCTGCCTTCCAGTGTATTATTTCCACCGCTGTGATGTTTTTTTACTACCTTACCTCTCTGCTTGCCCCCCACACCTGTGTTTTGCACACGACAGGACAGGCAGGCAGAATCCAACTGGAGCTGAGGAATTTGCTGCCAGTGATGAGAGAGAGAGAAACATGGCAAACAGAAGGAGACAAGCAGCAGGTTACTTTTATTAACGTTGAACAAAAAGAGTGCAATATTTTAACAGCAGTGCCTTCAACTGAATGCCTTTCTGTGGAGAATAAAAAAACCTCTCTCCTATTATAACTGGACTCTGAAGTTTAAAAACTCAAGTGTGCACAAGTATGCCCCCAGCTGTTCTAGGAAGCAAAGAAGATTCTTGATCTTTAGCTCACACACGCTTAAAAGTGGTTTCCCTCAGCTCTGCATTCTGATTCTGATGTTTTTTACAGGATAATCTGCATTTATAAAGTAAATTTAATGTACAACTTAATGCTTAGCTTTAAAAAATATAAATTAATTGTTCATTTGAAATCTAAAAGTTTATATCAAACACAGTTTGGAAAAGACGCAGGATCCCTAAGAATCGACTTTCCTTACTGACTTCTTTGAAGAGGATGCGTATGACTTTAAACTTTAAAACGAGCAACTGCTCATTCATCACAATAACCTAAAATGAGCCAGGTGTTTGGAGTGAGTCTTGAAGCTCGCAGTTACGGAATGGTCAGCAAGTCTCTTGATGCTGTAGGGGAAAGCCGCGCTGAAATAGTTTGAGCTTTTGTGATAAGCGTACTGTTTTATTTTACAAGGAAGTCAAAGGAACCCCCGGAAGAAAACGTACTGTTTCAGACTGCGTAGGAGACCTTGTCAACCACAATCTCTTGTGAACCTTGTGAACCGCTGTCACTGATTGTTCGGAAGGTCCCTTGAAGGAGGTGGCATGCCTTGGGGCACTAAGCCAGTGCCCGTTAAACCAAGACATTAAAAATATCAATAACACAAAGATCATAAAAATTAAAAGCAGCTACCCTTAAACTACAGTGTGATAAAAATGCACACTTCTTGAACACGAACAAGTCTCGGGACGTGCGATTTATTATTAGAAGAGGCTGCAGGGAACCCAGCCTGCACTGTGTAAAAACTGAGAAGGCCCCATGAGAAATGATCCATGATGCAAGATGATGCCAGTATGGAGCCAGAGCAGCATGGGCTCGGCCCAGAGGCCGTGACAAATGGCATGGCACTGATGTATTGATACAGCTGCTGTACAGGTCTCCTGATTCATGTGGGAGCCGCCACAAAGCAGCAGACAGGAAAGGCAAGGTGTGTCCTCGGAATCACCGAAGATCCAACGGGATATCAAAGAGCCTCCTGCCAGGAAATGCTAATTAGCAGGTGGAGGAGGACGGGAGATCTGCAGGTCAGAGTTTGATGTGGTCGGCTGAGGGAAAAAACTAAACTATCCTTTTAATTTACATTGAAATTTTGTGTGTTATTAGCACGTATTCCTGTTTCACCGAGCTTTCTTCATTCCCCGTTTACTAACTAAAAAAAAAATTCTAACTTTCATTTTCACAACTTCAAAAGTGAACTTAATTTCTGAGCAGTATCAATACTGAATGTCCTCAATTAATGGGGATGAGACACTGTATACTAAGAATATAATGAAAGCTTTGAAGTCTCACCTCTTTTTCAGTCCTGTTAATGAATCAGGGCGGCTGTACTGTGATCTGTGTGCAAGATGAGAAGAGGTCCTGGTTGCTTTGTCTTTAGGGTGTGTAAAAAGTGTCAGGTGTCAAATGACAGTGGCCTTCAGGCTTTGAGACGTGAGCTCATGGGTGTTTGTGGATCCAGGAGCGAGCCATTCATCCTGATGTGTTTCCCATCAACTGGACAGTCATCTCGGCGTAGGGAAACCATCACTGCGAGCACAAGACCCCGATCTGACTGGACTTCAGTTCCCACTGACTGCCGACTGCAGAAATGCGACACCCACCCTGGCCTGGCTGGAGAAGCCAGTGGCAGCTTCGGAAAATCCTCTTTTTAGAAAGGAACGCTCTGCTTCGTCCGGCCTCCACCCCTCTGCTCGCTGAAGCCCGTCTGCCCGGAGGACTACAACACTGCATAGGGAACCTGTTACACTCCCCGCACTCTGGAGACGAAAACCTTTGCTAAATTCACAGTGCTGTCACAAAGTTCACCATTTTTAAACTGTGTACAATTCTGCAAAAATTAACAAATAATTAATTTTTGTCACGGAGATTATTTCCGTAATGCCACGATAACCAGTCTGGGAAACTGGGACTGCAGTTCCCCCTTAAATCCAGGTCTGAGCACTGGTCTTGTTAGAGCACATTTTATATATATATAAAAAAATGCAGAAATCAAATATAACTTTTAGTTGTGGGAAATACACTCGAGATTGTTATTGAGGAATATGAATCAATAGAGTGCAACAGGACGTTTCCTTAGGTCAGTGTTGTACTCGGAGACAGATCCATTGCATACAAGCAGTTTTGTGGTTTTGCATGGCAGGTGCAGCACGCTGGACAGCGAGCCCAGATGAACGGTCCCTTTATTCAGCTGCCTGATCGCTTAGGACAAACTAGTTTGGCGACAGTCAGGATATCTTTAAATATTTATATTTTACAATATTATTGTGAAACGCGACACATTTTTTTTAGCATCGGCGGTGTATTTTTCAGGCGTGCACAATACTGGCTTGGTTACCGTGTGCAATGCAGATACAGCCTGTCCACAGCAGAGTAGTCAAACGAATTTAAACGTTTCAGTGCATAAAGCCTAACTGTATGCAAGCAATTCAGGCTATTAGACTAAGCCAGCAAGTACTTAAATCTTAACGTTAACTAAGTAAAGGGTTTCCGATTTTTTTTGTGCACTTTCATTTCACGTATGATATTTACATGTAAGCCTAAACTGCACAAATCAGACAATAAGAATACGTGCAAAAATGGCCTGAAACGTCAAGCATATAGGAGACCCACGAGCGTTCTGGAAGGCAGCCAGACAGTCGCTGGCATCAAAGAGGGAGACAAATATTTAACATCAAGAGCAAAGCAAGGGCGTCCCCTAGTGGCTCAGCGGGGTCTAGTCTGTCTAAAAGCAGCGCTGGGAAGCGCAAATGATGGGTAAGAACGGAGAGTTCAACAAAACCGGTTTAAAGTTTTGAAAATGTGTGAATGTCTATGACAGTGCTGGAAGTAGTAAGCTTTAGTGAAAATATAAGCACCCCCAAAAAACAGCCTTAAAACTGTTCTGGACAGATAATTGCTTTCTATGGGGAAAATGTCTGTCCCAAATGTGGCCTATTCCTTTACCAAAGAAATGATCAACACTGTTACTGTTGCTTTACAGTGCAAGGTAAATCCACCTAAGGCATGGATTAAATATTCCCCTTATGCCATAAATGCAGCTGGAAGTGTGTGGCTGGTGTTTACAAGCCAGAAAATATGAAACTCTGACACAACAACCAGAATACAACTTGGTATTACCTCCCCCTTCAGCATTACGATACGGGCTCCTGACCAGATAGCCAATGGTGCGACAGGAACGCTGCCTGCTCATCCTCAACTGCGAGAATCTTGTTCTGTATTTATTGAAATTTTATTCTGAAATACAGATTGGGAGATTATAGTAAGATCTTTTTTTTTAGAAAAGGACTGGACCCTAGGCTCCAGGAAGGTAGATGCTTCAAATAGTTATTTGGTGTTCACAAAGCACAAAACTACACTCACCTAAGATATGGTGACAGACATTCAGTGGTGGCAGCATCTTTTTCAAAGCGATCAATGCCAGTACTGACCAGTGATCAATAACTGAACCCCAGAGACAACATACAAGCAGAGCCAAATCTGTTGATGAGTGTGAAACTTGTCAGAAGTGATACATTTCCCTTTGCAAGACAGAGTGGATAGCATGCTTAGGGTCAAAGATATTCAGTTAATGGAATCAATAGTTCACAGCCTGGAGATTAACATTAGAACCAGTGGCTATTTGTTTCATGTAAATTCCTTGAGATTCAAGAAAGCACAAATATAAACATGGGATCCTGGAGAGCCCCAGGCCAACAGAATTCAATTTGGTAAATATAATTTAGGACTTAAATCCAAGTACTGTACTTCTCAGACCTTAAGGACCATATTTCTCATAGTTGAACAGATAACCTGCTTGATTCATCAATACCTTACAGGTGGCCAATCTTTAAAAACAGGTGTCCAGTAAGATTAACCAGATTTGGGCTCATTCCAGGACGTGAGCTGGAGACCTCTGATGTAAATTAATATTAATCCTAAATATCGATCCAACCTAAATATGATTTGTGTACCAAATCAGGGCATGGTGGTGCAGTGGCTAGCTTGGCAGTGCTAGGGCTATTCTATCAGTTCCTGGGGTGCTCTCTGTGTGGAGTTTGTATGTTCATCCCAGACTTGGAGGAGTTTCCTCCAGGTGCTCCAGTTTCCTCCCACAGTCCGAAGACTTGCTAGTAGGTAAATTAGGTTTTGGTCAAATTGGCCATGGGGTGGGTGTGTGCTTGAGTGTATGTGTGCGCTGTGATAGACTGGCTTCACATCCAGGGTATATCCTGCCTCAGGCCTGGTGCTTTCTGGGATAGGCTCCAACTCCCCCACTGTCCTATACTGGATCAAAATGGATGGATGTATCACAGCGAGATAGAATTGGGTAGATTTTCTTAACTAAAAACTTTAATAGTACAAGTACAAACATATCTCTTGATTAGTACTGTGGGGAAAAAAGGAAGATAATTATTTCTGACATTAGATGAAAAAAATATTTCCTTAGCAATAAACAGTTGTCAGGGAGAGTGTGCAAAATGATGTTGCCTATTTCTTTAGTATGTTGTTTTAGCTAGTTACTCTTCACTATTTCAAGATTTTTTTCAGGGTATTTTTGAGAGACTCTGGAGAATCAACAAAACATACTGCATACCTTGAGCTCCTTAGCACACGTGCAGAATAAATCACTTTTTCAATTGCCAGCTTTCTCCGCTAAAACATTTTAAAAAGCACTACAGTTTTATACAGCATTTACGGTTTATATCAGAGAGGGTCAACACCAGTCTTGTAGGGACAGGAGTGCATTAACTTTCAGTAAGCAAGAGAAAAGACCAAACATATCAGGAAAAAAAATAGAAAACGCTACATCTAGCTTTAATGAAAGAAGAAATAAGTGTCAAACTGAAATGGACAATTTTCTTCAATAGGAGTAAAGACAACAGTCAAACAAGCAGTATTGGATTCACAATGTACAAGACAATGAAGAATAATCTGATATTCATTTTAGTGCAATTACATCAACAAAATGAGGTAGATGATAATCCAGAGAAGACCCATGTCCAACTTGTCAGTGTAATCCTTCTCTTTGTTTTCAACAAAGTCCTGGGTGTGTTTGTCTATTTCAGGAATTCCTTCATCTTTCAAGATCTACAAATACTCTTCTTCAGTCTATAAAAAAGAAAATATTTTAAAAACATGCATCATCAGGATGTTTTTTCCCCATTGTAAGAAACTGTACAATAACAATCTTTTCTAACACAACAAAATACACCACACACTTTAATTTGAAGATAAGGAAAATTAAAAAATATATACTTATTTTAACTTTGTGAAAATATCACAAATTTCAGCATTAGATATAGACAATAGAAAAAAAGCACCACGAATGAAGAAATAAAAGCGTAGATTTGTATCTTGTAGATTATCTTACTTCTGGTGCTGTGTGTTCTCCATACTTATAGCTTTGGATAGGAAAAAGTTTGCTCCCTCCGTTTCTGAAGACGGATTCCACGCTGTGTGCCATAAGGTGCAGTTCATGGTTTTCATATGCGTAGACGTTGCTGTCAACCATCACAACCACCTGCTGCCCCTCAGCCAAGCAGGGGTAGTTGTCAACAGCACCAATAACAACCATCTTCTCACTCTTGGGGAGGTACAGCTCTTGCCAGCTCTCCATCATGTCCTTTCGGCCCCAATAGATGGTCCCATCCTGTCCAGCGATCCCCAGACAAAAGCCTTCTGGAGATTTCAGAGGCACTCTCACTCCTGTGTGTCTCTTCACGAGTTCAGAAAGCTCATCTACTGTAGGTCTAATTTAGCTGCAAAAAGAGGAATTTTTCAGAAAACCTTGGGGAATAAACACCAACACGCAGATTGAAAACCGAATTCTTGCAAATGCAAGTCACTATTACAAAAGGCTTCATATCTGGATAGTAAATGTGGCACAAAGGCAGAATTTGAAATAACATTTCTAATGTTCACAGTTTACTATAAACATATTAAAATGGACAACTCCAAAAATATAGAACCACTTACATTTATTTAGTCTGCAGAAATCCTTAATGCATTTCTGAATTTCAGGTTTACAAGTCTCACTGTTATACATACTGTAGACCTTCCTTCACTGAAACATACAAAGACATTTTTAAATTAACAATAATGAGCAACAAACACTAAAACCCCACGAGCTTAGAACTTTGACATGTATTTTATATACCTATATTTACCTCAGGAAGGTAATGCATGTAAATGCAGCAACACAATTTGCAGCACTGGAGACATTTCAAGTATATTCCACTCGAGATACCATTCTAAATGATAAAATGGTCGTTCACATAATCTAAAGATTTACTACATCATATTACAAAACTCTAGCTTTGGCTGTTGGTAGTATGTGCAGTACGATCACAATTGAGATATATTTTACATTTCACAAAGAAATGCGTTCATGTGTTTGGTTAATAAGCATATTGCAAATCTGTGCATCGGATTACTATTCTAGACTACTACACATGATCGTGTTGTAACTTTATCTTGTTCCAGCACAGACTATAAAGCCCTTCATGATGGTTCTGGCCATGAAAAGATGGCATACAAAATTACATTGGTGCAAAATATTCATCAGAGAGAGAAATTTGGGAAGGCTAAAGTATACTACATACTGTGTGCATGAGAATGCAAACCAAGACTGAAACCGATTTGTGCTGTGTGTGAACAGGTCACACACTTGATGGGGAAACTCAATTTGTATTAAAAGACCTCTGCAGCTCCCACCCCCTAGTCTATGCTAGGGAACCACCATTCACCATTTTTTTGGACCATTTGCACAGAAGGTGATGTGAAAAACACTTGCTGAATTGTTTTCAGAAACTTTTCCAATGGCAAAAGCATCCCTTCAATAATCAGGCAATCAACACGCTGCCATGAGTTACTGGATAGAACCATTCCTCTACTTTTGCAAAGACTGTTCCGCAAGTCTTTACGTCACCCAATTTTACGCTGATCAGAAGCAACTCTTAGCCATGCAACAAACACCTACAGAATATTAGCAAGCATGGTATTGAGAAATAAAATATTTTGCTCAATGAAAAAGTTTTAAAAAACCTTTAATTGAAATATAAGCTATACAGCACATAATAAATGAAACAGTGGAGACAATCACCTTTTAACAAATTTATAAATAATGTACATTATCATTATTACCCTACACTCTACTGTTCCGTACTTGTAAAAAATAACATTAAATTTCATTTACCTTGAATCCTGTAGGCAACTGGCATGCTTGAAGCTGGGGTTCTGGCGGTGGAGGAGGAGAGGGCTAATGAGGAGCAGAGGAGGGGGAGGGCACGGAAACTAGCTTAACATCTTCGAGATCAGCTTCGGTCTTGATGTCGGGCGCAAGCGTTGCAGGAGGCTCCGAGGAAGTGCAAGGTGCTGAGGAAGTGGAAGGAGCACAGGCAGGCCATTCAAACTTCCTCATAAATTTGTCGAGTGAGGGCTGGATGGTAGCCTTCTTTTTCTCCTCGTAAATCTCTCTGTAGCAGGCAAGGGCATCCTGAATCAGTCTGTTGACTTTCATGAATCTGGAAGCGTTAGGGTCCATGCTTTCGAAGCGCCCCATGGCCGTGTTAATTTCACGAAAGGCTACCGACATTTCCTGGGGGGTAAAGCTTTTTGGCTCCTCCACTGGCTCATGGTCCTCCTCTTTAGCTTCCTCGGCGAGTCTCTGCGCTTCCAGTTCCATCAGGTCCTCGCTCGACAGCTCCTCGGCATGGGACTGGATCAGCCCCTCGATATCCGCCACGTCCACCTCCAGCTCCAGCCCCTGGGCCAGTTTCACAATTTTGTTGGCCACCTCCTTGAAGGCGGCGTCTTTATCAAAGCCCCTGAAGCCGTGCACAAACTGTGGGCAAAGCTTCTTCCACACGCTGTTCATACAGCCTTTAGAAATGTCCTCCCAGGCTGTAGCAATATTGCGGATGGCTTGATAAATATTGTAGCCCTTCCAGAAGTCCTGCAAGGTCTTGCCAGGCTCCCCTTCAGTGACAGCTCTTGCTTGGGCAAAAGTCATTTGTAGATAGTATGCTTTGAAGATAAAGGTAACCCCCTGATCCATCGGTTGCAGCAGAGACGTTTTGTTGGGTGGGAGGTACACAACCTTGATGTTGGGGTGAAAGTCATCCAGGTGCGCTGGGTGGTCGGGGGCATTATCGAGCACCAGCAAAATCTTGAACGGGATGCGCTTTTCCAAGCAGTACTTCTCCACCTCCGGGATGAAGCAATTCACGAACCAGTCCTCGAACAAAGCGAGCGTGACCCAGGCTTTCGGGTTGGAACGAAAGGTCATGGGGAGGGTCGCTTTGCTGATGCCCTTGAAGGCTCGAGGACGTTCAGAATGGTAAACCAGGAGCGGCTTCAGCTTACAGTCCCCCGCCGCGTTACCCCCAAGCAAAAGGGTCAGGCGATCCTTACCAGCCTTGCAGCCCGGTGTTGTTTTTTCCTCCTTTGAAATGTAGGTACGATCTGGCATTCTTTTCCAGAACAGGCCAGCTTCGTCGACATTAAACACTTGCTCTGGCAAATAACCCCCCTCCTTAATCACTTTAGCCAGCACATCAGGAAAGTACTCGGAAGCCACATTATCTGCACCAGTGGCCTCCCCATTCATTCTCATATTCTGAAAATTGGCACGTGCCTTAAACCTATTGAACCACCCGTGACTCGCCACAAAACTAGTTTCCGTATCGCCTTTTTTCGCTTTCAAGTCTTCGAAAAGACTTCTAGCCTTATGCTGGATGGCCATAAGGCTTAGCGGTACGCACTGCTGAATCTGGTCTTCCATCCAGATCGTGAGTAACTTTTCCATTTCGTAAATTATACCAGACCTTCGCTTTGTAATCACTGTTGACTTTAAGGGTGCTGAGCTCTCTACGTGCTCCTTGATGCGTGCGCTGTCCTTCACTATTGTACTCACGGTTGAGATGGGCATGCCAACCTCTCGCGCGATGGAAGTGAGAGACTGCCCGCCTTCGTAGCGCCTAATTATGTTAATTTTCTGCTCAAGATCAATCACACGTCGTCTCTTGGTGCTGCCAGCACTCTTCGAAACCCGCGGGTGCTTCCCCGACATGATTGCCGCGGGGTTTATTCACAAATTTCAGTCAAGAAGTGCAAGATGATGCGTTATGGCTGTCGCACATGTGCAAGAACAAAGAGGGACTGAGCGCACAGTTAAAACACACGCTATGCCACGTGCATGAGCTTTCCCTAACCAACCCCTGTTCCAAGATTTTTTAAGAAACTGTCTTTTAAATATTCTGTCTTAGAGATCCTTGACAGGAACTGGCTGAATTCCCGCAGGCCTCAATGTTAATTTACCGAATTCAAGCAGCTGTATTGCTGCAACCTGTAATACACCTGTAATCTTTGAAGTATTTTTACTTCTGTATGAAATCTGAAAATACAGACTATATAGAAACAAAATTCCACTCCAAGAGAACAATAATGTCTGAGGACTTAACATTATGCAAGGCCCATAAATAAGTATGTTTCCAGCAAATACTTAATAATTTATTTTTTTTGCTCAAAAACTAAAAAGCACTTTTTTTAACCTGATTCACAACACGGATGATGAACTAACAATTGTGCTAATAACATTTACATCCCTTCTCCCGCCCCTTGCATCCTAAACCAGAACAAGCACAGTTGCATTTACTATAGTGCAAAGACATGGCCAGTGGAAGCAACAGATCTCAATAAAATTGGATCAACTTAAAATACATACATGCTACAAATTCACTGAAAGAAAAAGGAGTTTTTATGTCCTGTCGGGTTTCACTTCAACTTAAAAGTCACACTTGAGGCAATGGAGCATTTCTTTCTGAAAGATCCAGTCCTAAGAAAAAGAAAATAAAAAAATGAGACATTTCCATGCCGCCAACCCAGCTGTCTTTAATCAAATCCCAACACACTGATAAAAATGTACACATGTGCAGTACACATGTAAGACTTTAAAAACTATTGCTGTGTTTGAAATAAACACAACCTGGGGTTCTGATGGGCAGAAAAAAAGCTTAAGGCAGTTAAGTAAGAAGCAATTATTTTTTCAACTGCTGGCAGCCAACCATCAGCCCAATCACAGACTGAATTCTTTGCTTACCTCCCCTTGTTTCTTTAGAGTGAATCTTGGACAGTGGCAAGATTTCACTGAATCTTACAACAAAATTCTGAACAACATACATTTTCATTCATTAAATCCTTAGTCTATACATCTGCAGATTGTACAGAACTCTATGCATTCCAGTTTTAAATTCCTCAGAACTGGATTCTCTTGAGTTGAAAACACAGGGTTATTAACGTTCAAGCTCTCTTTTGACCTTACTGTTATAAAGTTTATAAACCTCATCAGCACCTCTGCCGTTGCTGTGTGTAGAGCACGAGTACAATGTTTCCCAAAGAGCAATCTCTTCTGCTTGCTTCATACAAGCGAACCTTGAAGAACCTCTATCTTCCCCTTGACTCTGGATGGCTATGGAGAAGACATACCACCCACAATCTAAATGGTACCACCCCCTCTACTTCCACTGTAGGTGCAAACAAGTACTTAAGTCTAGCTTTCATCTATTTTACTATGATGTACACAGTAAAAAAATGAATTTCTGATGGCTAACATTGGACTTTTAAATAAAAATAAAGAATAAAACAGCCTCTTGAAAATTCCAATTTATACTTTGCTAAAAATGGTGTGCTACTGTATGTGATAAATAGATTTAATATACAGTATGTTAAGTTAATAAAGCAGCAACAAGTACATCTCCTTAATATACCACAAAATCGCTCTCATTTACTATAAACCTAGCTCAGAACTGATGTGCAACATAAGTGTCACAAACCTTTCCGTTCTATGTCCAAAACAAGACTGTTTTAGAACACATTTCATACTTATTGCCTACAAATATGGGCAGTTCCCAGCAAGAATGCTTGCAAGCAAATGGAGAATGTAAATACAGTATATGTATAATCGGTTACCTTACACAAGATTTAAAAAAAAAAACTACTTCCTGAAAAAATGGCAGCCGAAACGACACTTAACAAAAATTATCACAGTTGCCTATAAGAAATGTGATTCACAACTCACTTTCTTTTCTTATAGTATTAAAAAAGATTCTAAAAACTAGACGAAAGAGGAGTCCAATAAACGGATTTATGAATGAAGAACGTCCTTTGATAAAATGGCTTCTATCGGGAGATTTTCCGCTAATTCTAACTAAAAGCATGCACAATTACGTACCTGGTATACAACGTCCTTCAACAAATTAAACTAAACTGGACACATCTCTTCAGCTAGAACATTTCAATCTCAGCACACAGCAAAGTGTACAAAGTATATAAAAACACCCCAGACTGTAATGGCGGACACACCGACCTCACGTTACGGTGACGTCATACAACCAACCAGGCGAGGAGAGGTCAAGGGTCACGTAGTACTCTCCTTTCCAAAAAACTGATTTCACTTATAACGAAATACAAGCTACAGCTGGGGTGAAAGTTTGGTGCCTATGCCTTAAGAATAAAGATGCATTATTAATATGATGTTAACAAAGGGAGGCGGCAGATGGATCATTTCAATTATCAATGTGCGCGTATGTTATGAGTATCGGAAACGTTTAGATTATACCAGCGTTAATTTCAGTAAATTACATACAGCACATCATTAATGTATTATCCGTACCTTTTCGCGCTGTATGATGTATAGTTTAAACTTCATATACTGTTACGCGTTGTCGTATTTCCATAGTAAACAGTGATATCAAAACAAGAACAAAATAAGTAATACTTTCTAGACGTATTTAATAAATGAACACTGTTAAATGTGAATTGGTGTGACCTGTACCTTACAGCCCAGTGTTAATTTTTAGGGGGTGAAACTGTCACTCAAATGTCAGGAAACCGGTAGAGTAGAGGAGTTTATTGCCATATGTACACCTACATTGGAATTCTGATTCGCGCTGTTCTCTCGGGACATGAACAGTACAGCAAACGACACACAATGTACATCATAAATAGTGATAGTATGTATGATCAATAACCAACCAAAACAATAAATATGAGGTAGTGACAAGTCAAAGGTGCCCAGTGCACGCGTGTATCGAGTCTGAGGCATTCCACATTTAGCTGTTAAGGATGCCCAATCCAGGGAGGCAGAAGCTGTCCTGACGTCTAGTGGTCTATGCTTTAATAGTGCGGTACCACTTGCCAGAGGCCAGGGGAGAAAACAGTTTGTAGCTGAGATGGTTGGGATCCCGAATGATGGGTTGGGCTTTATTTTCACTGCGCATGGTGTGAATCTATTCATTTAAAGATCCTATAATAAGTCCTATCCTATAATCCTCTGTGCCGTTGCCAGAACCCTTCGTAGAGCATCTCTGTCATGCATGGTAGTATTGCTGTACCGCACAGTGATGCCACGAGGGAGGAAACTTTCTATGGGGTAGTGGTTAAAGATCATGAGGAGCTGCTTCACCAAACCGCCTTTCTCTAGACACCAACAGTTTCCACGCTTGTGCCCTTGATGCAGAATGGGGTGCGACTCCCTCTGGGTCTCCTAAAGTCGATAATAAGCTCTTTTGTCTTGTTGACATTCAGGGCCAGATTGTTGTCAAGACACCATCACGGGAGATGCTCCACCTCTCTCCTATATGGGGACTCATCATTGTTACTGATCAACCCAATAACTGTGGGGTCATCAGCGAATTTGATAGTGTGGTTGCTGCTGTATGTGGCTGTGAACAGCCTAGAAATGAACTTGGAGAGCTTTTAGGATCACTGTAGAGGTGTTTTTGTTGCCTATTTTTACCACCTGAGGTCCACCCGTCAGAAGCTCCAGCAGCCAGTTACAGGTAGAGTTGCATAAGCCCAGATTCCTGAGCTCTGGGTCCAACTGTGCAGGAACAATTGTGTTAAAGGCCAAGCTGTAATTTATAAACCGCATCCTAACATAGGTGCCCCACCCATCTAAACGTTCTAGGACAATGTGTAGTGCAAGAGATATGACATCATTAACTTAACCTATTTGAGTGGTAAGCTAACTGAAGTGGGTGAAGGGAGTCTGGAAAAGTGCAGTTTATACAAGACACTGAGAGGCTTCATAAGCACTTCCTGACCAATGGAGTGAGGACCACTGGGCGATAATCGTTCAAACGAGTTACCATGGTCTTTTGGGGAGTGGTGCAATTGTGGTTTTCTCTCATACTACTGACAGGGACAGAGAGAGGTTACAAATGTCTGTATACACAGGAAATAGCTGACCTGCAGAGGTTTTAAGGACACGAGGGGAGACTGTCAACACTAAAGACAACAAAAGCAAAAACTACCAAGGAGTTTTAAAAATTAGCCACTTTATAGTGTTGTTTTTTGTGCAACAGTTCTCAGTCTTTTATTGTGGCTCATCTGATTGAAAGACAGCAGACCACGCTTTAAATTTTACAGGGAACGTCTTTGCTCAGCCAGGGCTCCGGATTGGGGGTATATCTGGACTTTGCTGGTAGGAACACATCTGTCCACACATCCTACATTAATTGTAGGATGTGACCACCTCTGTATACTCCTTTAGATCAGTATACTGCGAGTTGTTATAATGCGAGTTCTTGCTCAGCAGCGTCTGACCAGCGCTGCACGGTCTTCACTGAAGGTGGCGCTCTTTAGCCGAGGAAGAGGGAGAACGGAGGCGTGGTCATGACTTGCCGAGATGCGGACGTGAAATGGAACAGCATGTTCCTCTTATGCTCTTATGCTGGTGTATCGGTGAAGGTCCAGAACAGGGACGTACTGAAAGTACTTTGGTAGTACTTGTGGTTATTCCATTTCACACACTCAGCATGCGTCTTCATCAGTAAACCTTCAACCAGATAACGCTGACTGAGAACAATTACTTATTGACATTTCCGACATGAAGAGTAATCATTTTTTCTGGAAGCTGCACAGTGGAGGGTAGTCTACATTACCTGTAAATCGCTTTAAGTGGAGTGTCCCTAAAAGCGCTATATAAGTGTAAGCAATTATGATTATTTATACAGACGGCAAATTCCTGAAGCATTAACAGTGAAGTACTTAGGGCACAACGGCACACTGGATCGGAACCACAAGATCGGACACTGCAAATCATCGGTGATCTGGTGCCCCAGGAGGAACAAGATCACTTCGTTTTCGATAACGCCAGATAAACCCATCAAACGTTCTACAGTAACATTTTTTGCACATTATTTATTGTTGATTGTTGTTTTGGGGTGTTGTGTATATGTTTATCGGTCGTTTTAAGGATTTTATACATTTAAAAAAAGTTATAAATAAAGCGTGGAGTACTCAAAAACAGTACACTGGAGCCAAGCACAGTTTCTCTTACACAAGCTCCCTGTGCACCCCACTGTCATAAAGGGGTGCTGCCAGCACCATGTGAAGAGCACTTGGACAACATTTCTTAAAGAAATCTCTTAAACCTGCTTCACACAAGTGAACTTATATCTACCCCATGACTCTACAGGTATTACTGTAGGTGCTAATGAGTCCTTATGCCTATACCCCGTCTTTGAAGGGTGTTCAGATCACAAGAAGGTCCAGACCGACGCTTACTAATGAGAAACTGAAATACAGTGATTCCCCCCCTCCCCTCTGATGGCTAAACACTGGACTATTAAAAGCAAAGATTACTAAGTAAATTCAAAATGATGAAAATCTAAAACGCATTTAAAATACAGTGGGTCAGTAAACCTCCCCTTCTGTATCATTGTAATCTTTGTGTCTCTTGCACTTTCCCCTCCTCTGTCAAGAAACGTGTGGCCACTCACTTTACTACACTCAGCCTGTCCAGATAACTCTCAGCACCTAACCAGATAAGTCAGAGAGCATACTCTTCTTTACGTTAAACCATTAACAGACTTTGCTGTTAAACTCAAGGGTGCAACATCACGGAACATGAACTATAATCACCTAGTTAAATCAAGCCATCGAGGATCCAGTGCCCCAGGGAGAACGAGTTTTCAAAAAAAAAACAATCCCAGAGTTTTTAAAACAGTAACTTACTTTTGTTCACCCTTTTATACAGTTGTGGTTTGATGTCATTTAGGCATAACTGTGTATGTTGTTCAGGACTCTAATCAAGATGCTTCACTCGGATTGGACTTCTTAAAGAGACATGGTGCTTCTGTTGATACCACCACAGGTGCCTTTGTGTCCAGAAGTGAACCGATTCTGGAACGTGTCCTTGTCAGGTATAGCCGGGCATCGGTAGATAGGGATCCTACGCGAGGCACTTCTGATGGCGAAAGGTCAGGAGCTGGGCCGGTAGACGAAGACGTGGTCGAGTACAGGAGCAGGGGTCCAAAATCCGGGAAGTCGTAAGTACCAAATCGAGAGGCGAAGAGAGACGTTGAGCCAGAATGCCGGTGGTCTAACAACAAGTAAAGCAGGGTAAGACCCATACGACTACACAGCTCAGGGAGGAGACCTCAATCGTGAGCGAAGAAGGGAAGACTAGTGAGGGTTTAAATAGTCCTGAGTAGATTGGTGCGTGGACGTTAAGGGAGAGAAGAGCTTGTGAGAATGTGGGGGCGCTTACATGCCCCTGTGCGATTTGCGACAGTCCTTCTGCCTTCTAGAAGCAAAACGAGCGATAGCCTGTGTTTGGAGTTAGGAAGAAAGTCCCCGTGTGTCACAATGGTTAAGGGGATGATTCATGCCTTGCACTGGATAATATTACTCATCTCCTAAAATCAAAAATGGGGGAATTCAGAGAGATATGAGATTCATTTCTAAATGTTCTATAGACAATGGAGTAACATTTAGGTGAACTTAAAACCAGGTGGGCAAACACCTGGTTAGCCATGTTTAATGTAGAGGAATGCAGGATTTTGAATGCAGAGAACGAAAACATCAACACAAAAGTGATACAAACATAAAGGTCGGGCTCTGTATTCGGCCAAGTGACCATGTTTGGCTCAAAAGAAAAGAAACTCCCACACAGCAGTCTTCAAATGAAAACAAAACTGGACTTATTGCCATCAAAATAGGGATAACAAAATTCCACACCTTCCCTCCAAGGCACCCTCTCCATACTGAGCTCTCCCAGTCCCTTTTATAGCCCCTCCTCTCCAAGGACCATCTTTGTAAAGGGACTTGCTCACATTTTCTTAACAGAGATGGGCTGTTTGCTCAAAATAAAGTATTTAACCATCCCCCCCAAAAAACTAAACAAAACATTTAACCTTACATTTATTATTTATAGATGGCTCACCAGTCACCTTTCCCTTTAAGATCATTTGTGTGATACTACAAACAGGAAAGGTGACTGGTGGCCATCTTGAGCAACACAATACAATACTCCAACGGGGAAAACACTGCAGTGATTTTAGGGAAACAACAAAAAGGTAAGTATCATTCACACTTCATTCGTATCACATACACACTCTCAAACATACCAGAAGGATAGAGGGAAGTATTGGAGTATTTCACATTCAGAAAGAAAAAATAACAAGCACTCTGTCACATATACAAGAGACTGAAGAATAACAAATGGATATTTTTCTTCTTGATGCAACACAATCAATGAATGATAATCCCCACGATGCTTTTGCCATCAGTCTTAAATGACCTACAAGTCCATCAAGAAGTCCATGATTTCAGAGAAATCCTTTTCCTTGCTTTCAACAAACTCCAGGGTGTATGTGTTTATTTTTGGAATTGCCTGATCTTTCAAGATCTGCAAATACTCTTCTTCAGTCTGCAAAAAAGAACAGGTATCATCATTTGTGTAAGAAATGGTACAGTAACTGTTGCTGCCATACATTAGAATATACAATTTTCATTTCTAATTTAAAAATTCAAGATTTACAGTGGAAAGAGCATCATGAACAAAAAAGGCCAAGATTATCTTACTTCTGGTGCTGTGTGTTCTCCATACTTATAGCTTTGGATAGGAAAAGGTCCGACCCCTCTGCTTCTGAAGACGGATTCCACACTGTGTGCCATAAGGTGCAGTTCATGGTTTTCATATGCGTAGACATTGCCTCTGCTGTCAACCATCACAACCAGCTGTTGCCCCTCAGCCAAGCAGGGGTAGTTGTCAACAGCACCAATAACAACCATCTTCTCACTCTTGGGGAGGTACAGCTCTTGCCAGCTCTCCATCATGTCCTTTCGGCCCCAATAGATGGTCCCATCCTGTCCAGTGATCCTCAGACAAAAGCCTTCTGGACATTTCAGAGGCACTCTCAGTCCTGTGTGTCTCTTCACGAGTTTAGACAGCTCATGTAGGTCTAATTTAGCTGCGGGAAGAAGAATGTTTCAGAAAACCTTGGAGAATAAAAATCAGAAACACGCAGACTGAAAAAACACATATTGCGAATGGAAGTCACTATTACAAAAGGCTTCAAACCTAGATATCAAAAGAAGCTCAATGGCAGAGCTTGAAATGAGAACATTCCTAATGTTCCCAGCTGACTATAAATACATTACAACAAAGAATAACTGGAAAATCACCTACATTTCTTGAGCTGGAGGAAGTCCTTAATGCACTTCTGAACTTCAGGCTTACAAGTCTCAGTTTGTTTACACAGAAGCCATTCTTCACTAAAAAAAACAAAGAAATGTTAAATCTTTTGCTCATCACTCTCACAAGCTAAGCACTCTCTTACATTTGGATGGTACCTGGATTTGCTTTACTGGATATTTCTCCAATGTATTTCTCAACCATATTGACATTGTTTAAATTGTAAAAGATTTGTTTGCATAATCTTACGTTTTATTACATTTATTCTGAAACATCAGCATTATCTACTAGCACTTTTGTCATCACAACTGATGTAGATATTTTACAATTTCCTTTCAAAACTGCTCATACGTGTTATCTATTAGCATCATACAAATCTTTTTTGATTTTACTAGAAGCTTAAAAACTAGTAAACAAAGAAACTGTTCTCCTTCATTCAACAGGGTTTAGTAACCATTTTAAAGTGGATCCCAGTTGTCTAAATAGCTGTGTAGAATAAGGGTATTTGTTAAAAAAATATTTATAGTTTGAAATAGTATTTTAGGAACATATTTGAAATCAACTCCAAACTGTATTTGATAGATTTTTTTGTTATTGAAATACTTAAAAATGCACTGAACTGATTTTGGGCCATTTATTTGAAAATCCACAGAAAAACATTTTCAAATACAAATACTTTAATGTTCATGTAAATAGATGGGGTACATACAGGAAGAAGGAATTAAATCCTTGATTTACTATTTTCAAGCATGAATGGTGAAAATGCTCTTTCACAAAATTGAGTAAAAATGCTGCCACAGAATTATTGGCTACCAATTCCATCACGGATGTAATCTATCTTAAGCCATTCCTGTTCAAGTTTTTAATAAAGACTGCTCTCTGCATTTCATGTTTCCAAGTAGTGGAAGCAAACCCACAGCTCTCAACAAGCCTCAGTATCCATTTATAGAATTAAGTTTTCTGAGCCATTTTACTGATTCTAAATAAATCATTTGTAAACATTTTGTCATGATACCCTTTACCTAATGACTTGAATGTATAAAAATAGAAAAGAAAATTAAACCGATAATTTCTAGTGAACATCGTGTTATATAAATATTAGTTAAGGTGCACAGAAAATGAAACACAGTAACTTGTTTTAGCAATATGTTCTAAACTCAATGTTACTGAAGTCATACTCTTGCTACTTCAAAATAAAAAGCAACAATTAGTATTTACTTACCACTTTTGCCCACCATTGTACGTCTTAAGCTGCACAGACATTTCCAGTGTAAGCAAGAATCAATAAATATGTATAAATCCAAATACTTTTTTTCCCAGTACTTGCAACCTGTATTTCCTTCCTCCCGCCTGGTTTCAGTTAACGCACAAAAACACACACAAGGAGCAAATGGGCAATGTTTCTGAAAGATCTGGACCTAAAAATGAAAAAAAGACATTGATGTTACAAACTGAGCTGCCGAGTCTGTAATATGCATAGACTTCTAGACTTTTCAGCTCTCGGTACCCAAATACTGGATTCTCCAAGAGCTGAAAACCACACTTACTCCTACACAAAAGGGTGCTGCCAGCGCTGCCGTTACCATGTGAAGAGCACTTGGACAGCATTTCTCAAAGAGAAATCGCTTCTGCCTGCTTCACACAAGTGAACACTGGAGAACCTCTGTCTTTACCATAAGTCTTTATGCCCTCACTCCCTTCTTTGAAGGGTGTTCAGATCACAAAAAGTTCCAGACCGGAGCTTACTGATGCGAAACTGAAATACACCGTGGAAATGTTCTGATGGCTAACACTGGGCTGTTAAAAGCAATGATTCCTAAGTATAATTCTGGGAAAGCCCAATTAACACTTTGGTAAAAATGATTAAGTCTAAAGTACTGCAGCGCCACATGCGCACCCAGGGCGGGCTGGGAACTGCACCTGGGGGCGGGACTACGGGACTGTATATAGGGGGGCGGAGGCTGGACGACAGGCTCTTCCCTTCGTGTCTGTATGTTAGTGGAGGTGCTGTAACGTGTGTGTACCTTTCCCAGTTCAAGTTAATAAATGCGTTCAACCCTATTCCCCGAGTCCCATGCCTGCTCCATTCCGTACCGAAACCCGAATTCGTTACGATACGTTTAAAGTACAGGGCGGTTAGGCAAAAATCCCCTCCGCTACAGACTTCTGCTGATTTACGAAGTGAAACAATTCGTCTTTCTCAGGGGTGGATCTGCGCCACAGCGATGGCACAGATCTTTCCGTTTTTTTTGGCTAAAGGTGAAATAGAACAGGTGTAATAGTTCTAAAAAACGTGGAAAATTCATTTTTTAAGAGACTAGTTAGTAGCATGTAACAGATTTATGATACGTAACCTTAAGATTTTAAAAATCCAGTTCCGCCTAACTGCGCTATAACAAAATGGCAAACGAATCGAAACTTCTTAAAAGTTATCGAGGTTGTCAATAAGAATTTTAGTCCACCATCCACATTCGTATAAATAATAAACTAATAAAGCATAAAAACGAACGATACATTTTAAAAGCAGATTCACGAATGCGAAACGTGTGATGGTAAATGGCTTCTGTACATAGGCCCTACACTAGCTCTCACAAAATACAATAGACATTCACGTACCCGTTTTCCATTGTCCGTTAAAATTTTAAAAGGCAGGTCATCTCAACCCGATCCAAACTGTGAAGTACAATGGAACCAGTCCTGACTGAAAACGTCGGATACAAAAGCACCACGCAAACTGTATTAAAACAAACCCCATATCAGGCGTGGCTAGATGTTAGTCTACGCCTGTACGTAGTAGTAGAGGAAATGAAAAACAACCAAACAGAAGTGGAAACAGTTAGCTTACGCCAAATTTCAGTAAGTTGCGTAAGTTTATTATTTCTAATGTTTCAGCCATACATTGTTTCGCTGTGTGCAATAAAAAAAGCTACAAATCTTATAAGGTTGTGAATTGTCGTTTTACCTCTTAAAAAGTATTGTAATGGTTTAAATGAGTACTATAAAAGGAACAAGTGCCCAGAAGAGGATAGTTGCACCTTACACCCCATTGTGGGTTTTATGGAGGGAAAAAGGTCAAGTTTTGTTTTTGGGGCTCACTTAAACTATCAGAGAACTCCTAGGAATCCCTAGACAAGACCCCTGAGACAGTCCTAAATTATGACATTTATTTTACAAGCATAACATTTTATCTGCTCTCAAGGATTAAACATTGAAGTATAAAAATAACTGGCATGTGTCTGTGCAATAACTTCCAGAAAAATGAACTGGGTGTTTCAGGCAGTGCTCCCCCTGTTCCAACTCCAAGATTTGTCACTCTCTCTCTGCTGGAGTTCCCATGGATCAGGACTGGGACCGTTTCATTTCTTCTTCTGTGGATGTAATTTTTGTATTGGATCACATAAATTCTTCATCTTCTTAAATTTCCTTCCTTTCAGCTTTGGGATATTTGCTGTTCCTGGTTGCAGGCACATGTCATTTCAGGACATTAAATGTACCATTAATAGAGAAGGGGGATTTATTGAAACATTAACAGCTAAATATGTTGCTCAAGGGTATAATGTCACTCTGAATCCGAAGCACAACTGCCTAGTGACCTCAAACCATCAATGATCCAGTGCCCCAGGGGGAAAGAGGTTACTTCGATTTCAAAAACACCAGATTTACAGTAATTACAGTAAGTATATTATTGTGCTTCTTTGTGTTGTATATATCTTTATTAATGGTTTGAAAGGGTTTCCTGTGTAGAAATATTGTTGTTAAAGTACAGTGCACTTAAAACACACACAAATAGTCTACATTCACACAATTAAAGTAAAGCACTGGTGGAACAGTGCCGTACACCACAAATTGTAGGTTGGAAGGTTGGAAGCCTGGTTATTGGTCACCGAACACTCTGTGTAAAGTAAATGACCTATTGTTGTTTAGATTCTTTAAAAAAATAATTTAGGTTTACAAAAGAGTCCTGAAAGGGTTCTTAAATTTTATGTTGTATAGCTGTCTCTTAGTAATTTCATTAATGTAACTATGGAAATAACTGCCTTCCAAAGATTAAACAAAACAGATCAAAAGAATGAAATGCTTCAGCCCTTGGAAATGAATGTATTCGCTGCACAAATCACCAGAACATAGTGAAATATCACTTCCAGGGACGGTCGATTCATGCTAAGGGCGCCTTCTAGTGGCCCAGCACGGTGAACGACACTAAAAGTCCAAAAGCTGTGGGAGAAGGAGAGAACAAGAGGGTTGCGTGAGACTGAGAGGAAGATTAGACTGTTAACACAGTACATCTGTTTGCTGCTTTAGGTAGTATTGGTAGACCAGAGGCGGGTGCTCTCCCTCTGGACAGGAATTACTAGTGTCCCAAAGTGGTGACAGAGGAGTAGTCTTATATAGCTGTCCTTCAGCACAGACATTAAACAAAGGTTCTATCTTGCTGGAGATTAAGGATTCCATGGGAGTTCTCATAGGGGGTATTGTGACTAAATTTCACACTGGTTTTGCATAATCTGCCTTTCCTAAAGTCCACCCTTTATTCAACTGGTGAACCAGTTTCTCACTGCTCTGATTAACAGTGCCTTCGTAGTGGACTTCTGCAAAATCAATCAGGAAAAGCAAACCAGAGGGCACGAGTGGGAGCTACTGTACATGGAAGAGGATCTGAAACTGAGATCAGGAAGCATTTTTTCCATGCAAAGGTTTGGGAGGGTATGGAACAAACTCATATAATGTTCAAACTACTCAGCCACATTAGTGATGCCAAGCCCCTTGGCTTTCTCCAAAAAACAGCTGAATGTGATCCTTGAATCAATCATCTTTTAGCTACCAAACAGGCTAGATGGACCATACAGCCTCCTCTCATTTCTTATGTATCTGTTTGTATGTGTAGGGGATCTGTTCTTCAGGGGTGGGATCTTTTGGGATGAAAAGCGCTATACCACAGCAAGGAACTAGGGAGGGTTTGTTTTAAAAATCATATTATACTTTAGTCCTAGTTTATGAATTTTAGTATTAGCAGAATTAACATCACATGATGAAGACAAATACAGTATCTACAGTATGATATCCAGGATGCTTCTCCAAAATGCATGTACAGTAAATGCCTGCAAATCACTTTTGTATTTTGTTACAAAACATATAAAACAAAGTGAACAGCTGAAGTGTTGCTTTAAAAAAAAAATCACAAAAACAATTATTTGACATCCAACCTTGGTTTTGGTGAAAGTAATCAGAAAGTTGACTCATTTTATATTCTTTAAAGATCTATACAGTCTTCGCAGATGTTGTAGTTACATTCAATCATTTTGAAATAGTTTTTATATTCAGCAATTTAATCAGCTGAAAGTATAAACAGCATTTGGTGTTTAGGAAAAACAGCTAAACCTAATTCATTAGGCATGTGTGTGAGGTAGTATCGGCAATTATTTCCATTACGTTAAACAATAAATGTTATTTAGAAAGGAGATGAATAATCCAAGCTACATTTAATCACATGATATCTTAGGCTATGCATTTAAATTCTGTCTTATTTTCAAAGAAAGAAAACAATCACTTAATATATTAAACAGATCAGACACTAGAACAGTGTTGGAAGCCTGATTATCGGTCACCAAACAGTCTGTACAAGTAGATAGCAGATCATATCTTGGTAAAATCACTTATAATTTGTAGATTTGTAGGCTATAAGTACCTAATTAAAATGGATTACAAATTTCTGTGCTTGTTTTAAGTACTAACGGGAAGCCTGCACTTTATTATGATACGCTGTTCAGTTTCATATTGTGCGCCATTCAATGGTTTCTTGAAAGCTTTATATTGATACTTTCTTCAGTATTTTAATGACACATACCTCTTCATGATTTCAAGAATTTCAAGTATTCTCAACTAGTGTGAAACATCTAGACAAGGCAGCACATTTTCATGATGCACACAGAATAAATACTACAGTCAGAGATTTGGATCTGATTATGTTGCAAAGTACAAAAGTAACAAGAAGCTTCTTATTAATTTAAGTGACAAGATAAAAAAGTCTACACATTTTCAAGGATTCGCTTCTCTGTCCTTTTGACATTTTGTGCTTATGCACTATGACCTGACTCCGTAAAAACACCTGAGCTGTTGCATTTGAGTGCTAAACCACAGAGCAAGCAGAAAACACTGACACCTGTTGTCACCTTATTCTGACAACTCACTAACTACACTACAGGAAATTGGAACTGTTGCAGTTTTGATTATATATCAAAATATATGTATATATTTTGTACTTTAATGTTTTATTGTAGTTATTCTTAAAATCTGCTTTAGCTAATGGTGACCCAGAAGAGTTATTTTACATGTTGTTTACACATTTTGGTAGAGTATCAAAGAAAAAAGTTTTGATATCCACAAATCTTTCTTAAAGGCAATACCTAACATTTCAAAGCCACTTGTACTTATTGTGTTTGTCTTGAACAAATCTGAATCAGGGAAAGATATACAGGCACAGATTTTAGATTGAGGAAAAGAATCAACTTTAGGTAAAACATTGCACAAACATAATACTTCTCTAGAAAAAGCCTTTAAAAAATATCACCATTCTGATGTAGTTCTAAACTTGCAGAGGAGCAGAATGTTTCTTTTCCTTCCTTAGGGGGACCGTTTTTTAAAATAAAAAAAATGTTTTTTTAATCAAAAATAAACATAAATAGACTAAAAAATAAACAAGAAACATGTCACGAAATGTCAAGCTAATAAATTATCTTCATAGACAGAGGAAGATGAAGACTTCTATAAGCTGAGTGAAGTTTGAAGTGGCCCAGATATGAGAAAATTGACCATGTGATGTCTGAACAGGACCAGACTTTATAGACTGGTCCAGGACATGTTTATTCCCACATACCAGCTGTGGCAGGATCTTCTCGAAGTGATCGATGTCAACACTCTCGCTGTCTTCAGTCACTGCCTGCTTCACCGATCGCTCCGCAGCTTCTGGAACATGCAATGGGCACATGGCACGAGCCTCAGTGATACAATGTCACCCTGCAACTCACAGCTGGCAGCCCACTGAACCTCAGCAGGTGTGAGCCTGGCCAGTACCTGGATGGGAGACTCCTGGGAAAGCTAAGGCTGCTGCTGGGAGAGGTGTTAGTGGGGCCAGCAGGGGGCACTCACCCTGTGGTCTGTGAGTGTCCTAATGCCCCAGTATAGTGACGGGGACACTATACTGTAAAAAGGCACAATGTAAAATCAAGATCCTGACTCTCTGTGGTCACTACAAATCCCAGAGTGTTTCTTGAAAAGAGCAGGGGTGTAACCCTGGCGTCCTGACCAAATTACCCCGTGGTGTTTACCAATCACATGAACTGAACTGGCGTCATCACACTGTTCTCCTCCCCACCAATTGCTGGTGTGTGGTGAGTGGACTGTCGCTTTATCCAGGTTAGGCTGCACACCGGTGGTGGTGGTGGACGGATCCCCATTACCTGTAAAGCTTTGAGTGGCGAGTCCACAGTGCTATACAAGTGTAAGGAATGTATTATTGTTATTAAAGTCCTCCCTCTGGCCTGAGGTAATATAGGTGTTTTGCCCTCACCCCCCTCCTCTTCCTGCTTTTTAAAACAATCACCTGGCCAGCTGGCTTCCTGCAACATTCCCTTATGTAACATGGCCAAACATGGTGAAATATTTTTTTACAATAAAAAGATTAGTTGGCTGGCCTGTGGATGTGTTGTTTTTTCAAACATTTATTTAAATTAATTTAATAGTGTACTCAGAAACAGAAGTAAAAAAAAAGCACATTAAGAAAGATGGCAGAAGGATGGTGGTAAAGAGCAGCTGCAGTGGTTTTTGTTAAAAAATACAACTTTCTATTTTTTCCCCAGAGGATAGCCTTTCAGTCGTCACGTACAAGAAGCTCAGACGTACTGTATAAAGAAACCTTCCGTGTTTCTTAAAGCCGTGCAGTAATTTGAGGACAGTTTCTTGAGGAGTGAACAAATTAAGCATTGCTATTTTGCCTTAAACCTCAATTAAAAATATCAATATTACACTTGTATGCAGCAAATCTTCACGTGCCACAATCAAGATAATTAGGACAAAGTTTTAGCTTGCTTATCTTCTATTATGTTCTATTCTATTGTCACAGAACGTATCGGAAACAAAACAGCTGTAGTTCTACAACTGGCTTCTTCATGTAGAAATGGTAATTGCTTTTTTCTTTCATCTTACTTTTAAATGAATGGTTTATCAAATATTTCCAGTATATTAACAGGAAATCTTACCCTAGAAAACTGTTAACAAACATAATTTGGTTAATGTAAAACATCTTGGGTAGACTAATTTTATTTACAAAAGAACCAAATGAAAAATACAGCTTGCTTTAAATTTGCTACGATGCAGCTGTGTGAATGAGATTTATTCCAGTTGTATCAACAGTGAGGAATTAGGAAACCCTTACCTTGTACAAACACCTTCAACATCTCTGCCATAAGGATTAAGGCATCACTGCTGACTATTAAAAAAGATAAATGCAGTTTTTGTTAATTAAATTTTACTTTAAAAAATATTTCAAAGATTTTTCATGTTCATTTTGCTATAACTATTAGGGGGATAATTCTTACTTTAAATCATAAAACGTACTGCTAAATATCCAAATCATGGCTCTTCCTGTACACCTCTCAACAATGTTAGTTAACGGTTATGTTAATTAACAAACTAACATCCTACATATAGTGTGTGTTTCTGAAACTCATATATACCGTATAAGAATTGGTTAATGAAGGTACATTAAATAGTCCTGGGCTGTCTAGTATCTCAGTATCTTATTAATTAGTTTAATATTTTCAGAAGCTACATATTATATTACTGTACTTGCTACAAACGTGCATTTATTACTGTACTCCTCGGTTTGTGAATGCAGACCTATTGAGTTTTATAAGTGTTAAGACACAACCAGAGCACCATTGAAGGTAATGTACATATATTACGATATCAACAGTAGATATTTTAAAATACAGCTTGCATCAATTGCACTAATGACAGCTTACCTCTAGTTTTCTCGTCTTTAAAGAACAATGACAGCAGTTTGTTAACCGTTTCCTGAATGAAGAAATGAACGAATTAACAACCCTTTATTTTACCAAAAATGAGTGCAGCGAGATGTATCGTTTGACTGTTTTCGCGTTGCCTCTTTGACATTAACTACCTGCACCAAATACGGTAACATAATCGATATTAACCACTGAACTGGTCATTGAGTGTAACTACTTTATAAGATACAAAAGGTCAGCGCACTTTTGTAGGATTAGCGTTAAATATATAACCTTTTCTTTGAGTAACTGAAAAATGTAAACGTTACGATACTTTTGTTTTTATGGGTACTTATGGCCAACTTATCATTATAATTATTATTCACCTTTTTGAAAGCAGCGCCTTCTCCTTTGTCTTCCATTGCTCTTCTGACAACACTCCAACTTCTTCCGGTTTCCGGTTTCCCCACCAATCATTTCTCGCGTCTCTGCAGGTCATTAGGGGTCAATGGCAACGCAGTAAAAGCGGCGGACTAGCTTTTTTTATTTTATTTTTTTAAATTTTTTATTGATGCTTATCAAAAGAACAAACATAGCGGCGGACTAGCTGGGGACGATGCAGTTGTTAGCATCCAGTTCCGTGCGAGACGGGTTTGATGGGTTATACTAGCAATTGCAACGGACGTAGCTGCTGAAATTAGTCCCCAGCTCTTCGGTGAAAATGTTCTCTAGTGCAACGAGCCCAAAGTTACAGATGCTGCACTCTTGAGGTCATTGAAGCCCGGCACACGATACTCTTGCAGGCTAAGCAATTTAGTACCGTACTAAGGGGAACGATGAATCGCATTGGAAAATCCCGGATGTAGTAGCAGGAACGTCTCACTGGAAAAAAAACATCGTTTATACGAAACGATGTTAAGCTTCCGTCGCAGGGGACATTCACTGTAAGATGCTACTAAAATTGCATTCCAAGCAGCCGCAGTACGGCAGACTAACAGTGGGGCACTGAACTCAAGAAGAGCTACTATTCTAAAATAAAATAATGTAGTATTGCATCGGTAGTGTGGTGCCAGGTTCATTGGCTTTCAGGAGAAATTGGTTCCTGGGAAGGATTGGCCTAGTTTGTGCTTGTCTGTGTCAATGCGTGTCCCGCAGTGGACTGGCGTCCCATCCAGGTTGTACCCTGACTTGCTGGGAAAGGCTCCAGCTCCCCCTAAACCCTGAATTGGAAGAGGCGGTTAGACAATGGATGGATATACATGCCCACTGTGCACCTCAAGTTTTAATGATTGACAAAATCACAAAATGGACATCTTCCTAAGAGAAGCACAGGGCATGGGAGGCATAAATGACACCATAATAATAATAATTGCTTACACTTATATAGCGCTTTTCTGGACACTCCACTCAAAGCGCTTTACAGGTAATGGGGACTCCCCTCCACCACCACCAATGTGCAGCCCCACCTGGATGATAGATCAGATCCTCAAGCTAAATGTCTCCAAGACTAAAGACATGATAAATGACTTCAGGAAAAACTGTTCTGGACTCCAAGCTAAATTTCGAAGCCAATACTGACTTGATCCTCAAAAAGGGACAACAGCCTCTCTTTTTCTTAAGGAAGCTTAAGCATTTAAAGGTTGATGACTCGTTGTTGATTTTGTTCTACCGATCCTTCCTTGAATCTGTTCTTTTACCCTGATCTGCTGGTTTGGTGACTTGAACCTGAGAGGCACAAACAAACTGGGCTGTCTTGTGCAAATATTGTCTGAAGGTCATTGGTGCTGATCTTCCAGCTCTCTCCACCGTCTATCATTCACGTGTTTGTGCGTAAAGCAAAGTCGATCTGTGACGATCCTTCAATAATTTCCAGTTACTCCCATCAGAACGCGGATACCGGCTCCCCAACACCAAAACCAACCATATCGTTACTTAACACTTGACTTTCTATGCAAATATGTTGTTCTTGTGGCGTTTTTTTCCGTCCGTCTGAACAACAACACTGCTGCTGTAAAACAAATTCCCCCCTCGGGGATAATAAAGACACTCTTTCTCAAATATCATATATGACGCGACTGTGAACTCTTACTGTGCGATAAGAGAAGGACTCAGCCTTCCACGCATAATTTAAATTACCCAGTTCAGAACAACTTCTTACGTGAATTTATATTGTAGCGCATTCGCCTGGCGCCGCGGCCGAAGAGCGCCCGGCTGGGGTGCGCGGCGAGGGGCAGGAGGGGAGTAGTAGTGGTCAGGGCGGGGACGAGGAAAGCCGCTGACCAGTGCAGGTGACCCGCTGCAAAACGGGCGAACAGTTTGGTGAGATCGCCCGGATTCTTGGAAATAGCTCCCTGGTTTCGCACCCCTGTTCTACTCGTACTCAATTGCCATCCTATCGCTGTGTAGCTACCCGAATAGACCCCAGTGTGTTGCTCTCTCTGCGGGCGTAGTGGTGCTGTGCTGGCTCTGCCGAAAAATAAAGCGCCGTTTTTCAGTCAACGAGTGTCTGAGTGACTGTGTCCGTCCTCGCCGAACCCGGAAATAGTACAGTATTAATAATTAAACAGAACGTTCTAAATATTATATATAATTGTATTTATCTACGATTGCGTTGCTGGGCTGCCCTGGTCTTCTCAGTGAGAACTGTTGCTCAGAAATGGTGACACTGTGTGTGCCGGGGGATTTTTTTTAACTTGCCTACGCATTTCTTTAAAAAGCTTTGAAATTCTCGACCACGCTGTTTCATTTTTTCTCGGGGGTTCTTCATGTTCCGCTTGTAAGCGACAGAAAGGGGCTTTTTTTAATTACATAGAAGTACAATTGCTTAACACTATGGAAGCCCGTTTCCTATGGAAGCCCGTTTCCGCCAGGGAGGAAAAAAAAACGCGCTATGCTATCTCAGAATTCCGACTTAGTATCTCAGAATTGCGACTTAGTATCTCAGAATTGGGACTTAGTATCTCAGAATTGCGACTTAGTATCTCAGAATTGCGACTTAGCATCTCAGAATTGCGACTTAGTATCTCAGAATTGCGACTTAGCAACTCAGAATTCCGACTTAGTAACTCAGAATTGCGACTTTATATCTCACATTTGTGACTTCGAAATAGCCATATTTCATTGTCTGTCCTTTTGTTATTGTAACGGATTCAGGTTCCAGGGATTGTGCCCTCGCCGCTCCCACCCCAGTTCGTGCCTCGCTGCACTGGCTCGAACCTGAGTCTTGCCAGCTGAGCTAAAGAAGACCTTCTTTTTTAAGTAAAAAAGGACATACAATGGAAATACGTAAAAAGTATGTTTCAGCTTTTATAATTGTGAATTTTTCTGGATGTGAAGTGCCTATTTCTGTATCTTATTTCATATTCTGTCTACGTAAATAAAAACTATTTTAAAAAGCCCA